ACTATTCAGCCAGTGTGGATTTCGTCCTCTCCCCTTTCAGATCTATTTATTTTTTCCGACATTGCTACCTCGACTTGCAGGGGAAGTCGAAACTGTTTTATCCACCCTTTGCTTAGTATCCACTATGTGATTCTGTTCGGATTAGGTCCTGGTCAACGATTTCTAGCCTAATTGTGCTGTTTTGCAGGCTACTGTTACAATTATTCATGGGGTCATCATCAGGGTCGTGAGTAGTTTCGGTTTTGGTGTGGGTTGTTAGATTGATACCTAAGCGTGTCGCATAGTAGTCAGACATGCGACTCGAGTAGCATATGCACGGTAAACCTCAACTCCAACATGATGATACGAATCAAGTTTTATATGCTACGTCCTGTATGACTAGCGTGGTTGGAATATGGGAAATTTACCTGTAGATAGATAAAGACGTTGTAGCCCTCTGATAGTTGGGACAAGTCTTCTACAATATTATATCGGAATCAAATCTAGCCGCTCATTTAGCAATCTCATGAATTATTTCCAATGTCTGTGATAACAGACATACATATACAATATCGACAACAAGTTCAATGTCGATAAGATTCTAGCCACATCTTCTAGGCTGTTCATCATTGCTTCAAATGACCTGTCTTTAGCTCGTCTGAGAAAGTCGCCTCTTCCATTTGCCCACTGCGGACACGCCAAGACCATATGCTTGACGTTTCGTGACGGATGTCCACATTGACAGCTTGGCTTTTCTACTCCAGATACTTTCCTTCCGTACAGGCAAGAATTGAGCCCGATATACTCGATTGTTAGCTGAATGGCGACACTGCTTTGGGCCCTGTTCAGAGTACGTTGATTATTTAAGAGTGTATCTCTGAAGTTCATCTTTGTACTGCCTGTTTGTTCATCAGCGAGCATACTTGTCGCTTTTCAATCTTCTGGATCGGCTAATGCTGTTCGGCCATGGAGCTGTTTCCTGTTCTGGCTTCTCCGTAAATTCTCCCACTTCTAAAAGGCCGCTTTATTTCTAGCTTCTTTCTACCTTCCTTTGTCCTTTTTTCTTCCGCAAGTTCTTGTCCATTCGGCGATATCTTCACTCCTGTTCAAGGTATGCAGAGTCTCTCTCCCTTTTGCGTGCAGCTTTATCTTCTCACATGTTGATCTGTCAAACAGATTACCCTAAATTTAAATGTTGTATCATCATGTTTAAGTTGAGTAGTTTACAAGCAAGTAAACTGGGCTGATACATCAAGGGCAATAACTTGGTCATGTAGATGTTACAACTAGCGACTAGACGGATGGCCAATTTCATACGCACAACTCCCTTGTTGTTTCACTTTCTCTATTGCCCATGATAATGTAACAGCCAATTTTAGAATCATGTATGGAACAGAGATATGAGCAGTTCGTATGGGCAACCTAATAGTCAGTCTATATTTGGAATTAGTAGGATACTCAAGATTTATATAGCACCTAGATAGATTCCTCGTAGTAGAGGACAATCAATTCAATCAACTCTGAGGGAGATTAATATTGGTATAACTTTGCTTAACATAATCGCATGGTCTGTTGAACAGGGAATTTAGCTGATAGCTCGGCGTGCTGTACCCTCCTTTATTTCAGGTATATCTCTACAGGGAGGACGGACGATTCGTACTCTAGCACTCTGCTGCTTGTAGAATTGTAGGCACCTGCAACAAACTTCAAGCATTTTCTTTGAATACTTCTGAAGGGTTTTACAATCCTTTCGGGTATATTTCCTGTTGGCCCGGCCTCGGCCCATATCGAGGACCCATACGGAAGGGCCGGTCTCACTATCGAGCTGTATAGCAGCTTGGACTTCACGAATGTCGCTCCCCAAGTTAATTGTGTCAGTCTACTAATTGATTGCACTTGAGTGCACGATTTTTGCTGGATATTCTTTATGTGGGCCCCCAGTGGAGTTTGGGGTCGAAGAGACCGAGAACTGGAAGAGAAGACTGCGGTGAAGTTAAGTGTCCATAAATACTCACTGTGGCTTTTAGGTTGTGTCTGTTCCTTGCTTGTATGAAGTGCATCAATTGGAACTTCTCCGGTGTCCTATATAATCGTGAATTCAAATAGGACATGAATGGATAATTAATAATGAATGAAACTATATACATGTTCACCTAACCAGTATACTATTCTTATATATATTTACATTTTTTTGTTCATTTAAATTCTAGGTCAAGTGACTACAGTTGCACTCCTCCTGGAGCTTAAGCACGGGTGGGGCCGGGCTGGATCAGGTTAACTACCATTAAGTACATCTACCTCGTCCCACCTAAATGACCGGACCACTTCAGACTTCACCCATGTGTTGAATCATGTCAAGCCCAACCGTCCAGAGGACCCCCTTTTGGCGCGCCGAAGCGCAAATTCCTTCTCAGCCTCGACCACCACGCGCCCGAGCACTTGACATCCTCATTAACTCCGAATTATAATTGCCGTCCAAGATTTCATCGTTGCTCTAGCCTTGCACATTCATATTATACCATTAGGTTGTTGTCCTTATCGGTGATTTGTGTGATACTCCCAGTGTATCTTCCCTTTTCTTCCTCTTGTATACAAGTCCCGTTTCCATCATGACTTTCCTCAATAGGGCGTATGTAGGTAGGTGATGTGACGAGTGTAGAGGTGGGTCGCAGGTGTATACTCAGCTGAGAACTGGGTCGTCGTAAATATATAAGGAGTTTGAGAGATGTTTGATGTTTGAATACGACCCCCAAACAGACCTAAATCCATTCGTGAATCATATGTTACTGGTGATGAGTTTTTAAGCGACTTTTTTAAGGCTGTGAAATCTCTGCCGACTGATTTTTCGACCAAAATATCGAGTGCAACTCCTTCAAGTCGCAGATCCATCAAAAATAATTCATCCCACCCTTATTCGTAACTGAATCCCGCACTGACATAATATTTCACTCCCAGATTCGTAGAGGATACCACTGACAGGTGTTCTGCTTTCATAGCATCAAGGGATTTGTTGGTTACGCAGTCAGAAGTATTTAAAATATGGTTCTCTAACCGACTGTTTTAAAGAAAGGCGATTGGTTCACAATTGATGGCAAGCGGGGTAATTAGAGACAGTCTAACCTGTCACGAGCTAGCTTAAATGCACCTGCAGGGCTTATCCCTTAAACAGCCCAGTTTAAGGCTTTACCTTTTCTATCCTAGAGGGACTGTAATACTCAAGTAGTACAATAGATACATCATACCACATCATTCCTCAGTGTTAGCTTTGCAGACTGTAGGATTGGAGCTAAACATATGTCAGTGAGACATCTGAAATATATCTAGTCTTCGTTCATCTCCAGAGTTTTATAATTGTAATACGATTGGAGATTTTAAATTATCTGCGCTGTACACCGTATACGTCAGGCGTTACGACGTTTACTAGCTGTTATATATGGGGATAAAGATCTATCCCGAAGAATTCCTACCTTAAGACAGTAAGTAGGGACCTATGTTGTTCTGTACCAACGGGTGAACTCAGTTGAGTGTGGCAACCAAGAATAAGTAGAGGCGCACACAGAGAGTATTATGTGTACTTGACCTAAATTCATAGATAGAGATCCTCGTATTGTATGTACATCTTCATCCAAGATATTTAATATTGTAAAACTTGAAGAGGTCTTCGTGTGAATGTCACGTGAATCGTCAAAAGATGAAAGCGAATACAAGAATGAATTGATTAATTGTCTCCGTGCTACGAGTCCATCGTAGCACTATGATATCTAGTTCTACCCTATTGATGCCCCTGATCATCATTACTAGTCTGACATGCCTGCACGCAGATCGTGCTTTCGCTTTTGGACTGGATCCAGACTTATGCAAGCACAAGTCTGCTTACAAATATAGATATATTACCAAACACTTCCCATTCATCCCGTAACACTTCATACTAAGAATTAGACTCCAAGACATTACAGATAATCTTATAATCATAATAGGGCTCTAATTATGCAAGTAATAGTATTTAATAGACAAAATCGAAATATTCATATGCAGTATCTACGAATGCAAGAAATATTGAAAGTTATTGTGTGCTATTAGGACCAGTCTAAAAGAATAATAGGGGGCAGCTCGAAAAGGGTTAGAGCGAAATAGTAGGAAGCTTTTAGAGATACACATTCCATGAAAGTGTTAGATTTAAGCACAACTGAGTGAAAAAAAAACAAATCAAAGAAGTCAGCTAAGAATAAGTTTTCCAAGTTTCACTTGTTATCCCATACAGTTAGTTAAGATATTTGCAATTTTATAAAATCCTTTTTGTGCCTAACGATAAATAAACACGGATTCTATCGCATACTGTTCCTTCTGCCTCTTAATTAGCTAAATGATGAACAAATTGACCTAAGCTCCTGTTCTATCCTTCAAAATTTGAAATTCTCAGAAGAGATAAACGATATCTTGGCATATCTTTTCATTATTTGCCTAAAGAAGCTACCCAACACGAAAACCTCAATCCTGATAATTTGTTAGATTTTATCACAAGTCTAAATGATTTATACATGGATTATAAAATGTGGTCATAAAACAAGAGGGAAAAAATTAGAATCTGATATTACAGTGATACCGAATTATGAATAGAAAGAGCCTAAATGAATTTTGCCAGATATTTTAGGTAGTATAGAAATAATATCGATATGGATTTGAAAGATTAATTAAATCATTCTTCCCATCATGTTTCTTTGCTCTTTTAACTACATAAGTATGAACTTGAGAAGCAAATAGCGGACGCCGTACTTTTTGAATAAATCCTAGTTATTGTCTACCCTGAGTCGCGATATTAACATCAAAATTACTGTGCAGAAAGACCCTTACACACGCTAATATCAGATCTCATTTTATTTGTTGAAGGATAGGAGATTTCTTTGCTTGGACAAGCAATTATATTTATCTGGTGTAGGTCGATATTTTCGTGCTACTGTTGAGTCTAGTATCTCTATATCGGGTTGAGAAGTTGTATAGCAGTCAAAATTGGAAACTGTAACTTAACTGTTTTCCTTGTGAAATGATTCACTAGAGGTAGATGATAAAATGTCTATTTGTGGCAAGCTCTCAGTTGAGATAGTTGAAGCATCTTTGTCGTCTTGTGAAAGGATGGTAGCACTAAGCTTGGTTTCATGTAAATTCTCTATATTAGTTTTGTCCTGCGAAGCCTTTGAGTCCATTTGTGGATTAGTTTTAAAGTCATTACTTGTTTCTTTGGCTGTGAGCTTCCAAAGCCCGATCTCTTTAAGCCATGCTAGCTCTTTTGCAGCATCCTCCGCAATACTCATGGCTTTATTTTCAACAACGTTGAAAGCAGTGCGGGCATTCACAATACCTGGGTGTTCAGTCCCAACTAGCTCTACGTCTAGACGCCACTTTGCAAAGTTTGTTTTGAGCGCATGATATTTAGCCCAGTCTTTGTGCGTGACTCCGTCCATCCAAGCCCATCGCATTCCAATTTCTTGTAAGCCCGCTTCTTGAATAGTATCAAGAATCCCAAGTGTATCAGATATTGCTTTACTAATGAGACTTGTCATTTCTTGCTCACTGGTTTGCCTCCATATCCGTAATTCCTGTGCTCTTTGCTTGATACCAATTCCGGTTTTGCGCACAGCAGCAGTAATTTCCTGGCTAGAATCTATATCATTTTCTGAATTTTGTACAATTGAAATTATGCTGCTCTTGAGCGAGTCTAGGCTAGTTTCGATAGCCTTTTCCAATTCCAGGAGATGAGACTTTCCTTCTGTTTTCACCTGAATTTGTATAAATTTGTCAGTAATATCAGTGATGGAGATCTCTAGTTCATCTGCTCCCTCGTCTGCGGCTTCAGCGAATTTTTCTTGCCAAACTCGCAAATCTTGTGCAATGACCTTTTCAGCTTTCTCCTGAATTGATCGGTCCTCGTTTGAGGTTTGGAGGTAATTATCCACTTCGATCTCTGGTGTTGCTAAGCTTGACGTGGGTTGAGCTAATGGTGGTGGCATGTTTTCCGATGAGTGATCATCAGCAGAAGTTTTCGGTAAGTCAGAGCTACTATTTTCAATTAGGATTGATTCATAATATGAAGATATAGGCTTTCCTTTTAACGTCTCCAAACTTATCCGTGGTTTTCATACCCTCCCGATATCTGCCTAATCGTTGACCAATCTTCATTAATTGTGGCTCAATATTCTCTCTGTATAGTAATTTAAGTTGCGGCCATACAGTTTGGTCTATAAAAGTAAAACCGTTGATAATTGCCCATCGAGCACACGGGTAAGCTGTATTTATGGTAAAGCTACGAATAAGTACGTATCCATCAGCAGTAAGCGCTAGACTTATGAAGTAACTGGGTAGAATAACTTCGTTATAGATGTAAATTGCGTTAATTTTTGTATATTCATAGTAAGGATTGATTACCATGTATGCTGCATCCACTTCGGCACCCAGTGTATGACGATATCGTTGGTATAATATATTCCCATAATCGTGTAACTTTGGTTGTAGTTTCTCTTCCCAATTCTTCTCTATAAGTGTTTGCAGTTGTGCTGCGCGTGGTGCACAATACCTCTTCACTAAAACTGTCGTTGGTGTAACTACCCGACTCTCAAAATTTACGTAGTGAGGACGAGCTGTTTCCACATAGTGTACAATGTGTTCATTATAATAGGGTCGTATATGAGGTGCTAGAACTTCCCTTGCGTGAAAATATGATTTACAAACTCTTGATGAATTCTCTCTAAGCTGATCGTGTGTGGGTGGACAGCGAAATAGAATTGTGATAATAGTAAACCACGTGAATAACCTACGAGAGGTCAATTTTTAATCTGAATAGTTGGTGAATGAGGATACCTTGCAGTGATACCTATTAAAAAGAGAGTTTTACTTCTCTTCAGGACTTGAGGCTTCGGTACTGGAATTTGTGAGTTTTTAGGACTCAGCTCTACTGGTTTATCTTTGCTATCAGCGGCCATCTGCTGGTATTCCGTTACAATCATTCAAATATTAGTTTAGAGTCGAAGATCTGTGTTATTTATTTTGTAGTTACGGCTTTTGGAGATGAAAGTGTCCTGGTCCAAGTCGCTTACGGTGTCTGATAAAGAATAACGAGAAAGTGTCACAATTATAAAAGGTGTTGAGAACGTGAAGATTAAGTTAAACCAAGATAAAATTTGTTGGCAGGAAAGGAGGCATCGAAATTGATAAGAAGATATTGCCACTAGGCATTGCGAAAATACTATTTCGATATTAAAGCTGGAGTCGTGGGAATGGTGATATCAGAGTAAGCTGCATCTGCGCAAGTCTGCTGCTGGTCCACTCGTCCAGCTTTTTGAGTTTCACAATACTTTGAGGTCAATAATACAAACAAATTTTGATGAGCAAATTTTAATAGGCATTCTGTCTAAATTTAAATTTCCGCCCAGAGTGCCTATTGAGAGAAATTTACATTTTAGCCAGCTGTATATATTGGAAATTATCATCACAGAGGAACTTTGGATTTCCGTAGTATTGCACGTGATTGTATAAGTCATTCTTATGCATTGTAACTTGTTATTACCTTCCATAACTATGTAGAACACTTTTCTAATTATCAATACTACCAACTGTCTAGAAATCAAACCTGCCTCCATCAAATAGCGCATTTGAACACGGCTTACTCTTATGGCTCAAAACTCACGGTAAAGGCATAGCCTTTAAATCAAATATTAACTCAAAGTCTTAACTTTCCGAAACAGAATTTAATGGTATTAGGATGATTATGAAAAGTTATCATTCAACCATGTCTTCACCGAAACTATCTTCTTTAGATAGCAACGATTTGATAACAAACTACAGAAAATCCATCGAAAATGAAATCCGCGAACCAGACACTTGCCGAATCTGCAGAGGAGAGGGCGATGTGTCCGAGTCTTTATTTTACCCATGTAAATGTAGCGGTAGCATCAAATATGTACACCAAGGCTGTTTAATGGAATGGCTATCACATTCTCAGAAAAAGCACTGCGAGCTCTGTAAGACTGCTTTTCGATTTACAAAGCTATACTCGCCAGACATGCCTAAATCGCTACCTCTATACGTCCTTGCTCGATATGCTTTCTTTCATGCTTTAAAAACTATGAAAAACTGGCTTAGATTCTGCTTAGTAACAGTTGTTTGGCTCGGTATCCTGCCCTATACTATCAGACAATTTTGGAGACTACTTTTCTGGATCAGTGACGGTAGATGGCCATCAAGCTATTGGGACTATAAAAGTGATAAGACTTCAAGTGTCTTAAAAGCAATTCAATCGGCTTATGGCGCAGAATTCACGAGACTAATGGCTAATGGGACATGCCCCATAATGCCATTTAGCTCAAATCCCACTAATCCAGCAAGCTTAGGAAATGTCATTAATAAGTTAAATGAAGTATCAACATCCATCTTCCAGACAATTAACATCAGTGGATCTACTGATGCTACTTCTAAACTTCTGAACTCAGCTCATCATGGTCTCAAGATACAAAGCCTACCTGAACCCGAAAAGTTCATCGATAAAAATATCATATCGGAATATATTGCAAAAGTTTCTGCTAGAACAAAGGGAGCATCGCTCATGAGTGAAATTTCGCTTTTTCAAAATCTTACGCGGAATACTTCCATTAATCAGCTTGTACTTAATGTTGTCGAAGGCTACATAATCACTGTTTTAGTCGTCATTTCCTTCATTCTTATCTTTTTGATCAGAGAATGGGTCGTCCAGCAGCAGCCCGGCTTGAATATTGGAGCTGGATTTAATGCCGAGCCTGCTGTCGTTCCTGAAGAAATAGATAATGAATGGCGTGATCAACTTCAGCAAAACGAAATGGAAGCCGACAACAACCAAACTGATGGACGTTCAGCTCCAGCAGACCTTATGACGGTAGGAGTAAATATTAATGACCAAAATGAGACAGATATGAACGGATTTGCGCATGGCCCTGGGTCGCATAATTCGCAAATCGAAGTTTCAAAAAGAACAATCACTCAACCCCTTAAGGCTGAAGAATTTATGGAAGTATGGCGGCGAGGTAGCCGCAATCCTGATGAAGTTTTGAAACTTATAGAAAAGGAAGGAAAGTTGGGGGAGCTTGAGTATTGGGTTAAACTTTTAGAAATGCAAAGAAACCCTGTCATCAAAACAACACCTGCCCAACCCAACATGCCTGTGTTAGCTAATAAATGTCGTGAAATCACACCATTAGAAGATTTCGGTAACACGATAGAACACAGTTTGCCGATTAATCCAGATTCACATCTCAACACCGCAGGAATTTTTGGTGATGGCTCTAAACTTTACGACTCAAAAAGATTATCCCACTTATCAAATCATAGCTACTCGTTGGAAACGTCAGATCCGGGAGATAGAGGAGAATCAAATAAGTTAAAAGGGAAAGAACGTGCTTGTGATTCAAATGAAACAATCTGCGTCAACGAAAATTATTTAAAGCCGAAAGAGTCTGATTCTGAAGACCCTTCGACGGAAGATTCGCTTCTTTCAATTCTTATCAGTGAGGCTGACACGAATTTAGCAACCAGCTCTAGGCCACGATCCACAAGTGACGGCCCAGTCCGTAAAAGACCATCTCTTCTCTCCACGAATAATTGGATTTTCCCTGAAATGTCCGAGGAACAAAAAGAGGGTTCCTTCATGTCCTATAGCTTGGAACCTCTCAAAAATATTGGTCACCCCGACTACAGCAATAATTCGAGCCCTGAGAGTATTAATAATCCATCTGAGGAAATTAAACAAGAACTTAATGAGAAAATTGTGTCTACAGATTCTAATGATTCTTCTCCAAGAATTTATCATAAGAAAAATGATGTAGATATGCTAGAGCTAGAAACTGCCATTTTGACTCCAAGACCAACGCACTTTGAAGAACTTAGCACTACTACTTACATGACAAGTTCTGTCAATGAAGATAAAGAGACCGAAGTAAATCAATCTGAAGAGATCCCAACAAATCACTCAAACCATAACCTCGAATCTGACCAACGGCCTATTGAAAGTAATCCACCCACAGTTAACTCGCATGCAACAGACAACACTCTTTTTGAGGCCAGAGCACCGGATACGATTAGACCAGCCCCAGATTTCCTTGGTACGGTTGCCGAGTTTTTATGGGGTGGAATTGGTGATGATGTACCAGCGGAAGAACTCATTGCGAATGAAGAATTAATTATCCACGATATAGCAGCAGAACCACCCTTTGTCCCGGTAGCCCGCCATGATGCTCTAAATCCTAGAGAAAATGCTGTAGCAGTACGAGAAGAAGCTCAGGATGCTATTGCAGTGGGTAATGATCAGAATGATCCCGAAGCGATTGACGATGCCGAGGATTTTGAAGGTATTATGGAGTTAATTGGTATGCGTGGCCCGATATTTAGCCTTCTTCAGAACGCTCTATTCAGCGCTCTCCTCCTGGGACTAACTGTTACCGTCGGTGTTTGGACCCCATATAATTTCGGAAAAATATCATTACTTTTAATCGCCAATCCTGGGCCAGCGCTTAAGGCACCGCTAAAAATTTTATTTGGCTGCGCTGCACTCATGCAAGATCTAGCCTTAAGTGTCTTCGGTGTTTTATCACTACTGATAATTCAACTGTTTGCTGTGCCCTATAGTCTCGGGATAACATACTTTGGATTGGGAGAGTCACCGATAGCATCTCAAGCCAGCTTTGTAGCCTCGATGATCCCCGAAGTATCGTCAGCCGCTCTCATACGAATAAAAGAAAGTGCATTAAGGAATATGATTCATATTACAGACTCTGAGATGTCCATATTCTCTGCTGCATGCCACGAATCCCTTCATACAATTCGGAATTCTATTGTTGGTCTAATTAAAGGTCTTTTATATTATATAGGATATGCCTTTTATGGAGATTATCACATAACTTCTTCCAATATCCTGTTAAGTTTCCAAACATTATCAAAATCGGGATTTCAAACATTGTTACGATTACCTCATTGGTTTGTGAAGTCTGATATTTGGATGATTAACTTGGCTGGGAGGGAACGATCTGCCCCAATTGACGTTGAACTGAGTGTCTGGAATGGTACAGACAGATTTTGCGCTATATTGGTGGGATATTCAGTACTCTGTATTCTAGGGGCTCTATATGTAAGAAGGGGCTCTCCATTTTCTTCAGGGCAAGTTGGTCGGGAACTCGAGATGGCACTTATGGATCTACTCAACCAAGCAGGAGGTGTTGTGAAAGTGATCTTAATCATCAGCATTGAGATGCTCATATTTCCCCTCTATTGTGGTCTTCTCTTGGATTTTGCACTGCTCCCGCTTTTCGAGAACACGTCGATCTTATCTCGATTTCTTTTTACCTTAAAGTCGCCGCTTACCTCTATCTTTGTACATTGGTTTGTGGGGACGTGCTACATGTTCCACTTCGCACTTTTTGTTTCGATGTGTCGAAAGATAATGCGTAAAGGGGTCTTATGTAAGCCTGCCCTCATAGTTGGAGTGTTAAAGTATTGACCGAACAGATTTTATTCGTGATCCTGATGACCCGACCTTTCATCCCGTCCGAGATGTGCTAGAGAGGAACGTTACAACGCAGCTTCAAAAGATACTTTTTAGTGCTCTTGTATATGGCGGACTAGTAATTGTCTGCTTAGGTGGTGTCGTTTGGGGAATTTCATATACTTTTACAGGTATTTTACCGATACACTGGTCATCTAACAAACCTGTGCTAGAATTTCCTATTGATCTCCTGTTCTATAATTTCTTCATGCCGATGGCGATCAAGCTATTTAAACCCTCTCATGCGTTGCGCACCATGTATGACTGGTGGTTTCGACAATGCGCACGTATGCTGCGACTCACTTGGTTTATGTTTGATGAAAGGAGACTAGACGAAGAAGGACATTTAGTACGGAAGACATGGAAAGACGTTTTTTGGAATAGTAAAGGTGATCCATTTCTAATGGTCATGACAGACGACTCCAAAAGCGTATTTGAAAATAATCCACAGTGGCGCGCATACTATCGTAGAGATGGAAAGTACGTTAGGGCACCCGCTTCAGACCAGGTGCGGATACCAAAAGGCTCTAGTATATTCCTAGAGGTAGATGAGATGAACAATAGAATCGACGGCAAAACAGATCAAGGCGACGGTATACATGGCAAAAATTCTATGCTGTGTAAACAAGTTTATATTCCGCCTTGGTTCCGACTACGCATTGTTATGTTTATCCTGTCTATCTGGCTTTTCGCAGCTGTTACGGGTGTTGGTATTACGATTGTGCCACTTGTCCTTGGCCGCATGGTGTTTTCCACGCTTATCCCAGACCACGTTCATAAAAACGATGCATACGCTTTTTCAATTGGCATCTACTTACTTGGGTCAATAGTATATTGCACCTCGCATTTAAAGAACTCATTTCTCCACGCCTATAAAGTTCTAGTAACTGAAGCCTATTCTTTCAAAAAGATACTGCAATACGTTTTTTATGCTAGTTTTCGAATTATCAGCGTTATTTGGACTTACGCCGCGTTTCTATTAGTTTTTCCTACACTTTTTGCACTACTGATCGAACTTTATTTTATTGTGCCATTGCACACATATTTCGCTATGGGTGAGAGACATGTAATCTACTTTGTCCAAAGCTGGACTTTGGGGCTACTTTATGTCAAACTCACCACTAGATTGATCCTCTGGAACGAAAATTCTCGCCCAGCTCAGTCACTTCGCGCCATAATACGTAATGGCTACCTTAATCCGGATGCCCGCTTGGCAACGCGAAGCTTTATACTTCCTGGGGCTATATTACTTTCCAGCGCATTTTCCATTCCATGGGCACTGGCCCGGCTAATAATATCTACAATGTTGCGAAACTCACCCGATAAACATACTCTCACATATAGATACTCTTACCCAGTTTTTCTGTGCTTGTGTGGTATGGCTCTTATTTTATGGATTATGATGGGATGGGCTAGAAACTGGAAACTGAAGATAAGGGATGATGTTTACTTGATTGGGGAAAGATTACACAATTTTGGAGACAGGAAAGTACAAAATTTGGCCGGTGCACATGCATTGAGAAGAATTGATGCTTAGTAAGGTTGATTGGAACGCGCTTATATGTGCCAATTTTTCAAAGAAGGCGAAGTCTTTTTTTTACGGATTATCCGTATTAAATAAACGATCAGTTTTGGGTGATTTACATATGAAATGAGTATATAGTCTCATACTATAGAAACTGCTCGACGAAGATGAAATCCAGAACTGATACTCCCTTGGAGATTTCCCAGTGTAGTTGTAGGAACAACTATTAAGTACTAGTTTATATCACTCGAATCTTAACCTTATTTAACCTGAATTTAGCGCTTTTTCTATTTACATCATGAAGAGACTTTATATGATAACGAACGGAATTATGTTTTCTCAATCATATCTCGGATAAAATTACGGCAGAGCATCGGTTAGAAATTTTAAGGATTTCTAAGAGGATATTCCACGAAAAACAAACATACAATTTCGGATAAGACTTTGTTGATAGTTATATAGGACAACTCTCATCTCGATCTGAATTAATAATGAATAATATTCTGTTAAATTAATGTAATATATTCAAATAAGGCAATTCTCAGATACATACTTCTAGGGCTTTAGTGATTGTCAGGGTAAATGTCATAGGATAGATTGACGAGGTCAAATCTGGTGATTGAGATTGTCTACAAAGAGGAAAGGTGACCCCTATTGAGTCTTAAAAATATATATACATCGTGAATCGCGCATCAAACGCGTGATATCACGTGACTGTTCGATAACGCAATCCACTCCATCCCATGAGCGAGATCCTGGCCTTCAAGGAACCGCACCAGATACACTGAGCCAGGAAGAGTCTCTGTACGCTGGTGCCCAGCGCATTCAGGAATCCCTGGAAATGAAAAGGCAGATGCTCTCGCAAAAGCGGCCTGTACTGTAACCGCGCCCAACCTGGCCCCTTCCATTGCCAGAGCAAGGAGAATTGTCAATCTTCGCTACGAGGCCTCTGCGTCGGAATACTGGTCGCGAAATGCCCCTGACCGGTATAGAGCGATCAGAATCGGGCCAAGCTCCCGCATCACCCCAGAGCTCGCTAGTATGGATCGTCGGTCCCTCGGCCTTCTTCTCGCTGCGCGGTCTGGCCATGGCGATTTTGCAGCATACCACCGTCGTTTCGCACACAACAGCGCACCTTAAACATGCTCCTGTGGACATGATAAATCGCCGGAGCATTTCATGACCTGTCAACATGGCCTACTACAGGCGCGGCTTCGTGGAGCCAATCGCCCCAGTCCCCCAGACGCTCGCTGTATTTTAAGCTCACCAGAAGAAGCTATCTTGTTCCGAGACTGGCTTAAGTTCACTCTATTTTTTCGTAGAGTTTCAAAGGTACCATTAATGGGGGAAGCTCTGTTTGCACCTACATTTGTAGGACAGCCCTAATTACTTAGATACCAACGCTATCTAAATACGAACACCTACATGTAGTTTAATTTCCGCTTTTAATTATATAATTTATATCAGTTTAAGAAGAGTCTCACTGATCTGGCGACCATGCGGACCGGAAGCAGTGGGGTCTTTATCGGGTTTTTGTTATGGGAATGCCGGTGCGTCGGGTAGCCCTTCATAGGCTGAGCTAACAGGAATGGGGCTTTAAAGCACTGTTTTTGTTTGTTTAGCTATTTTGTCCTAAGCTAAAGCTATGTTTTCCACATTGGGTCAAGGACCGGCGGATCCGGCAGGGTTCCCTGTAATCTTTCCTACAGCCTAACTCGTTCCAACCTCGTGAATCGCTACCAAAAGTGCAGCTGATTAAACAGAGACGAAAAATCAAGAAAATCAAAACAACTCCGAAAAAACCAGAAGATTCTTCTACATTGGACCCAGTCAATGTGCTCCTCATACATTCTCTCGTCTGTCACACCTTCCAAATGACAAATTTACTCTTTCTATGCTGAGAGCGAAAGATGAGTTATCAGGCACCTTTGATCCAGCCGGTATCCTGCTAATTGTTAGTAGATGCCCCAGAAGGGGACATCGTCGAGGTTGCTGTGTCCTCAAACTTCTTCTTCAGGTCCCAGCACTCCGAAACCTGTTGCCTCGGCCATTGCGGTATCCTTCGCCGCGGCGACAATCGCCTCTTCGGCCTTTTTAGCTGCGGCCCTAGCTCGAGCCGCCTCCGCGAACTTCCCTTGCTCGAGGTGGCGTATCCACGCGAGCTGCTCTTTGGTCACCGGTCCGGATTTTTTTGGTCTGACTTGGCAGTCCCGAGAATCCGAACGGTGGGGTCCCCCACAGTTGCGACACTTAGTGAGGGCCTTGCACTCAGCTTCCGAGTGCATGATGGAGCCGCAGTTCCAGCAGGCTGGAGCGCGGGAGCAACCACGAGTGGCGTGGAAGCCCAAACAGCGTTTGCACTGTTCAATTTGGCGACGAGGCTTGTGAATGGTTGCCATACCAGACTTGTCGAAGAGGCGGAAGCCCGCACGAGGGGCGTTGTCCCGCGTGAAAAGGGCATTCCAGTTTTGATACGGTGCCCCAGGTCGACATGTCCCATGAGATCGGACCTGAATTGGAATCGCGCCGGTCGTACCGAGAATCTTGGCAGAGACCCAGCTAGCATCGACCGCCCTGATACCGCACACTGTAACTATCCTTACAGGTACGTTCGGTATCTGTAAGGCGACAAGATCCGAAGATGCCTCGAGTTTGACGTTATGACTCGCCAGCTTCGAAGAGCCATGTAAAGTCTCTTGTCGTGTTTTTTCGTTCTTTGCTAGCATAGCAATGCCCGTTCTCACTCGGTGGAGTGAGGCTATTTCTTGGTTAAAGTAGCTGAATGTATACTCTAACTTAGTTCTCACGCTACTTGTGGACAATTTTCGCCACGGGTGGTCCTTTTCAAGGCGAAGGAACAGTCGCTTATCAACTTTCGCCTTGGGGATTTCTTTTTGTTGGGCTTTGGCCGCAGGTCGCGGCATAGCCTTCACAGTTGGGACTGCCTTTTTTTGCAGTCCGTTTCTGGCCACCGTAGCCCAGGTGCTTTTGACAGGCAGAGCTGGGACGGTGGGTATTGTTTGTCTCCTCGCGTCGGGAGCCCTTGGGAGAGGGTTTGTGGGGCGAGGAGGGAGGACGGGTGGTGTAGTGGCCGGGCCCGTGGCCATGTATTGCGCAATGGGGGCGTGTAGGTAGACTCTCATGGAGTCTACGAATTGTCTATTTGACCCGTTGGTCAAAGGGAGGAGGGTGGCTTCGACGCCAGAGATGGCGGCAGAGCAGAGGGCCAGATTTGCCGCTATTTCGGCGGCGCGTTGTTGTTCAGCTTCGACTATTGGTCAGAGCTCGAGGGGACACGCTGCTTTCGTGGCAGCTTTTGGCTGCGACGTTGATGTTGACGCTGCTATGGGTGCAGCGTTTTCCGACGGTTTTGACACGGTCGGAGATGGTTTGGATGATTCTCCGATCCCGTGGGGGACGGAGGATGGTTAAGGAATTTCCTCAACAATTTCGACTGACCCGATCATGTCAGTATCGGGTTCAGTGACGGCAGGGAGGGCTTTTTCCTTCCCTTTAGTTGAGCCCTTACTCATCTCCGCGCATTTCGGAGACTGGGCAAGGCCAGGTAATTGCTCGAGAGCCCTCGGGTGGACTCTCGTGTTGTCCAACTTGGCGTTGGGACGCTTTTTTCGAACAGGTGGCATGGTGAAAATGCCAGTGACTCGATCACAATTTTTTGATAGAATGCGACGAGCGCGTGAGGGAGGGAGACGGGAAAAAGGTGAAGGTTCGAAAATTCGAATTTCAAAAAATTGGCATATGTTGTGCGCAGGCACGACGTTAATATCAATAAATAAATAAATAGTGATCCCTAACTACCAGTGACCTGGCAACTTCCAGCGTTACGGCGTGCAGTGTGTGGATTCAAGATCGCTGTCTGACGCAGGTATTTTGGTAATGACTCGGAGGCAAGTGCACAAGGTCAACGATCTAAAGAGGATATACGTAGAGGACTAAGCTGGCGAGGTGCCAGGAGGTTGAGGTGGTGGAAACGAAGAATAGAAGAGGCAATATAATAATTTGCAGGAAAGATAATAGAAATATGAGATGATAAGATTATTCGAAATATACGAAAACTACAAGTTGCGAAGCTTGAAAGACAATCTGTGGTAGCACCGGCTTGCTTGAGAACAACAAATGAATACGAAAAAATCCAACATATGCTTAAGTAAGATCAACCCCTGACTCCAACCCATCTCACCTTAACTATTGAGGTTTCATGAAAACCGTCTTCTGGGCGTTTCTCCAAGCCTTTGATTTCAAATACGTCTTGTCATGACAACCAACAACTCAATTATTGCAAGGTGGCATTTCCCAGACAGTGGATTTCGGATCCCACTGAACTAATTGTCGCCCAGCTAAGCTTACTCATGTGGAATCGAATCAATATAATTGATCTTGAAGATCATATCCAGGAATCTAAACCTTCGAACATGCTGAATCCAGATTTCCAACACTATCAGACCAGGGTTGATGGCATCTCCCTCGGTAAAGGATTTTATTTTTGAATTGGTGCATTGGCTGGCCTATTATATCGAAACCAAGCGTGGTATGAGTGGAGTAGATAAAGATAGACGATCAAGGTGGCAAATGAACCTGGAATTCTTATTTCCTAGATATGCTCTTCAATTGTCTGATAAAAGAGAGGAAAAATTTGGCCTTCATACAAATATGAATGGCGATCTCGAGGTAAAATGAAATTAACTTGTGGGTTTCATCAAATATTCTGGCGGCTTAGACTGGTGAACAATTATTTATGTTTCCATCTGATAACGAATCGATCACTAATATCTAGTGGTAGTTTCCCACCTACTCATGTAAGCTATGTTAGTCAAGCCACATGTCGCTCTTGGTATTACATATATTTCGTTCGTAGCCGTAGAACTCTCCAGTCATCACTTTCAAAATAATACCGTTTCTCACGTATCTTTCTTGAGAACTAGGCTGAGCGAATTTTTAGTTCATGCGCCGTAAAAAAAGGCGCCACAATTTGTGCAACTTTACATGATATACACAATTTGACCTCAATTTGGAGTTTACTAAAAGATTAAAACTATCAAATAATTTAAGTACTAATAATTATTTGGTATAAATCGTGGTAAAAACGAAATATTTAATTGACCTCATTGAACGTGTGTAGACTTCTTAACGTATCACTAATTTTCCTGTAGATACACCTGCCGCGGGAAGCTAGTAATTTCCCAAACCTTTAATTTCGGTGATAACCACGATATTTACTAGTAGTATGTGTGTGTGTTTTTAATATACTAGACTCATTGACCATCTAGCGCACTGGGCTCCTCGCTGGCCCAGGCCACACCTTGTACAGTGCTCCTTGCCTCATTTTTCTTGAAAGATCATTGATATATTGCCCGTGATGAATAGCCATTCAGCTCAGTATTTACCCGTGGAATTCGGCCACCTTTTCCGTGGAACCTTCTACCCAAAAAAAATAAAAAAAATGGTAGCAATGGAAGCTGCGTGCGCGGGAAAAGCCTCAAAAAAACCTGCAACCCAAGCCACACAGCTGCGTATATCCATCTGCATCTCCCATATTTGTTAGATTTCGAGACCAGTTTGATCAAACCCGCCATCTCCGTATCGGGTGCTGGATACGCTCCGGAAACTCATCGGATGGCTTCTTCTCCATGATCAAGGGTAGGTGATGAGAAGGGCTTCGACCCTGCCATCACGAAAGCGAATGGGAGTCCTCATCGAAGTTAGGACATTGTTACTCAAACTTGGCTCTGCAGACTCGACAGCGAGAGCTGGAGGTTCGTAGGGGACACTACTGACAGGTATGAGGATAGTCTCCCTTTTGCCAGTAGTAGAATGCTAGAGTATGAAACATCAACTCTATCGATAGATATCTACTTAAAACAAAGGCGGCTACAATATACCGAGCTGTCCAATAACCTACCTGTCTAATAGACAACTTTAGCTGCACGCAGAAAATTCAAATTTCTTGATGAATAAAAATTAAATAAACGTCATCGAAATAAGAGACAAGACATAGGGGAATGGACCCTTATCTACAGCAACATTCAGCCCAAAACAGGATAGAAGTTAGCCGTAAAGAACGCCGCGATCAAGTAATGGCCAGAATCCTGGAAGAGCCGGAAGAAAGAGCGACGCTTGGGTCCGCGAGCGCAAGCCAATCCGGATAAGTGGAAAGCTTCAAACTTATATCACGACGAGAAAACAGGTAGACTTATGATGAGCTATAGAGAGTCACCTATCCAAATCCAACAAAACCTTAGCAGGGCCCAGAGCAGCATTGCCACACATGTAAGAAGCGAGCACGTTGGACTCAATGCTTACTTATACAGGAGGAACGTGCTAGGAGTAGAAAAACCATGTTACCAATGTGGATATCCGTCCCAAAATATAAAGCACATAGTGATGTCTTGTCCAAGATGGGCAAAGGGGAGAGGTGAGTAGCTACGAAAATCGACAAACCGATATTTCGAAGCTATGGTGAATAACGTCAAAGATATGATTAGAATTGCACAGTGGATTCAAAACAAAGGATGGCTAGAGCAATTTCGGATGACCGAAGAAATTGAGGCGTTAATCAGGCGAAGAGAGGAAAATGGAAACACAGGACAAGGACAGAATCCACACTGGCAACAACAGTGTGAGCGCACTTCCTAGAGGTAAGAACAAAATGGCGCAGAAACCGATCAGACAGCAAAGGGGGTTTTTAACTGCAAGTTTTCCTCTTATGTAAATTAGAAGTTTTGATAGATATCTGCATGAGCCTATTGTTAAGGAATGAGATGTAGATTTGTGTCATGTGACATAATGACCCTAACACGTTACTTATTCTGTATATAGCTTAACGGAACTCTTGCTGTGTTCCGTTTCCCCTTGGTAGACAATCTATTCCACCAGTATTTGACCTCGTCGATCTATCTTCCTCTACCGTGACACCTATAGGGCGCCAAATCAGGACGATGAATTCAAATTCAAACCATGATTTTAAATTTTGCATTAAAGTAAAACATTTGAGGTACGGAGAAGCTATCGGCGAGATGAGAGTCGAAGTTTTTTTTATCGAGTTAATTCTGCATTTTCCCTTGCTCTGACCCTTTTTTCGGCGGCTTCGACAACCGCGCTTTTTATTGTGGGCACAGTGTTCTTGCCGTCGATGCGTATAAAGTTCCAACGGGGTGTAGCATCGCCAACACCAGGCCATAGATCTACTGGTAGGTATTCGCCAACGTCAGCACGAAACTCTTCACGCTTATGCATGTCGTCTTCATAAATTTTCTGTAATTGATCTGCCGCTTTCGTAAGGATAGCGTGCATTCTATCTTCACATAGTTTGCGTCGCCGAACCTCAAGAATTAAGCCATCATATGAGCTATAATAGTTTTCATAAAATAAGCGAATAGAATCCAGATCTCTAAGTTGTGATTGAATATTGGCCTTGATATCATCCCAACGTAAGCAGAAATCATGACTAGAGTGAATATATCCACGTAAGCGTAATCCCACTAATTCAAGGGTCTGAAAAGCCTTAACGCTATCTTCGTATAACTCTTCAAGCAAAGTAACACTTTCATGGACAATTCCATACTTGATTTCCATGTCAGCTAATAAAACCTTGAGCTCCATGACAACTTCTTCAACTTGAGCGGAATCTTTTTCGAGTACGTCGAGTATTTCTTGCATCTCTTCCTCTGAAATCTGCTCTCTATCAAGAACGTTCTCGGTACTCATCACCCCAGAGATAGAAACGGCATCTACTCCTGCTAACTGAGACGATGCTGCTTTTTTAACTGCAGCTGTGCCCCCCTCTGTATTTCGAATTGCAATGACGCAGAGATCAAAGTGCCGTACAAGAGATTCAAGTAACGAAGCCATTTCCTGGGCGTGTGATTCCAGGGTTTGTAAGTGCTTTGGGACGCCCAAAGTTGGCTCCATGATAAGCTGTGATCCTACCAGGTCTTTAGACGCTATATTTAGAGTACGAATATCATCATCAAATGAGCGCATTAACGAGTCGAATTCTGTTTTGGCTTCCTTTGGCATGTAAGAGTAAAATTGAGATTTCAAAAACACTACTTACCTCAGCTTCCCGAATCGAATCTTTCAAGGAATCTCGCATAGACTCTACTCCTTGTTCATCCAGAAAGTCCAGCAAGCTTCTAGCCTCTTCATCTTCGGGTCTGAATGTGGCTTCCACCATAGTAGATCTCAGAATACCCATAGTAGATTCTAATCGTTTGTTTGCCAGATCCATATTGTCAATAACATCCTGTGTAAAACTATTAGCCTCGGGTTAGCTCTCGATTTATTCCGATCAATGAACCTTAAAATCTCTCTCGCTCTCATCATGAAGGGTATCAATTCCACTTCTAATCTTTTGGAGCGTAGCAATCTGTTCAGATATGTTCTTCCTCAAAAACTTCGTGCGAGTAAAAAGCACTACACACTCTTCAAGAGCACTTCGAGCCGAAATAACGATTTCCTTTGCGCGCCATACCGTTCTGATTGACGCGAGAGAAAGTTTGGACGCTATAAGATGAGAAACTAGAGTATCTAGGGAAATTTCTAGGCGGGGAACAGGATGCAGCTGTGAGCAGCTTGAGGTCGAGGAAGGATGTCTCTGACTTGTGCGGGAAGAAGTCGACATTGTGATCGGGAGCCGTCAGGTAAACGCATGCTTAATCGATCCCTAGCTTAAAAAAGCCTCGTAGAATATTGCTTACAATGGTGAACTACTATGATACGTTGCTCAAATTGGACAAAGTGCCAGTAGAATAATAAAACTAAGCTTAGCCAATTAGCTAGCCTTCTGTTAGTTGTGTGGGTAAGGCTATGATCGATCGACTACAAACCCCCTTGAGTCCAGTTTCGTTCTATTCTTTTGTCGATTCTGACTTCACTGCCGGTCATTTAGGTAGCAATGAGCTTATGGAGTCCATCTACCCGTGTCACGTCCAAGTAGATGTTAGGTTCTTCCTGTCACGTAAAATATTTCAAGTTCAGATTCCACATAATCCAGTAGTCGCTCGTTGATTTCAGAAAGCGCAATTCTGATTTCTTCGAGAAGCGAAGTGGGCTTTCTGTTACGCAGAATATAAATTATAGAACCACTCAAAATCAGAATTATTACAACCTTCAGACTATTGCCTCGATATCCAGATCACAAGATTACACAGGGCGGGCAGACTATAAAACTGCCCCTTAATTGCATCTTTTTGCCTAATATTTGGTACTTGCATAGGCTTCTCCGCAGCAAAAAATCTTGATCCAGACTTTTTTATAAAAATCCTCCAATTTTAGCAGAGACATAAATTTGGAGAGAATATGGGTTTAAGAAAGGAACCTCGAATTGTCATATCTACATAGCTGAACGTAACGTGAATTTTAAAACAGGACAATCGGGACTGGAACTCTTCATGTGTGTGTGTTTATTGCATAACCCGATTCTATGACTAACACACACATTGGCCTCCTCTCTAACCTAAACTACTCCTCGTACAGAGCTCTTATGCTCTCTTATCATTTGAAAGATCATTGATAAATTGCTCGTGATGGATAGCCGTTGAGCCCAGTATTTACCCGATGGGCAAAGACGAATTCTTCATCTTCCAGTGGCACCGGTGTAATCGCTCAGTATGCTCTGCGTATCTATGATAGTCAAGATGAATCGCATCCGAGTCCAGGTCCAGTACAGCCTCAGGCACTTCCATAATCGGCGACTTTTCATCAATGTCGGACCCAGCATTCTCACACGAGTCCTCCACTTCAATCTTACTACACCACCTCGCCTTAATTGCCGATAAAAGAGTTACTCTAATTGCAGTTGGGAATTTACCTCGTTCATAATCGACCAGCTCTCACCACAAGGTTACGATGTCATTTAAACTTACTAAGATAAAATTAAGTCATCATCTAAAAAGCTCGGCTATTGGTCTGTGGGTACCGCTGCTTAAATGGGGCTTCACATCTTGAGGGAGGACAGGCAACTGGGACGTGGGACAAATAAATGAAGGGGTCACATGTGGACAAGCTGGGACTCTTGTTTTTCAAGTGTTTTCAATTTTTGGATATTTGTAGGCGCCGAGGCTAAGGTTTCGGATAGTGCCACCGACACTTTAAATACAGGCAACGATGGAAGATGTTTTGGTCCGCCTCCTGGTAGCCATCTCTCCGAATTAAAGTCTAGGCAGGCTGGGCACCTAACTCACCTGAGAAAGGGAGGACTGTGAGGTCATGTCTCGCGTGGTAGCTATATACAAGATGGAAAAGATATGTTAGGGTAGCCAAAGGTTTTGCCTGTTTCCCCTTTGGTGGATATTCATGGTTGAGTGAAGGTGATGGTCTCTAGCATAAAGATCTCGAGTGGTATCAGTGAATGTACCCACTACAATTGTGTTCCAAAAGTTAAATTGAGTTATCTTTGTAAATAGTTGTCGGTGAAGGACTAGCCATCTCACTGTCATTCCCTATTAGAACTAGGTTTGTGTCCGCCGCGAATAAATCTCCATTCATTAGTCATCAGTATTTACCCAGGGAACCTTCTACAGAAAAAATTGTCTCAAAAATTAGCAGCCCAAGGCATGCAAGGCTAGACACCAGAGCCACATAAGATGCAGATATTTTTATGTAACTCTTTTGTAATATTGCAGGCCATCTTGGTCCAATCCACCATCGCTGTATCGGGTGCTCAGTATTCTCGGGAAACTGCTCGGATGGCTTTTACTCCACGATCAAGGGTTGGACATGAAAAGGGCTTCCACCCTACCATCTGATCTGATCGTGGTTAGTCTCATGATAATGGTTTTAGCGGAATGTGCTGAGAGCTAAGGATGATATAGACAGCGAAAGCGATTGGATACCTCATCGAAGTGAGGACTTTGTTACTCAATCTCGGCTCTGCAGACTCTACAGTGAGAGCTGGAGGTTCGTAGGGGACACCACTGATAGATGTTGAGATTAATCACCACATAGAATGTAATATTTACATGGGAGGAAACTCTCCAGTGAAAACCCTCTAAATCTTCCTGTTTATTGTTTGTTTTTCTTCTAATTTATCCTTCAGGAAACGCAGTTAAACTACAATACCCTCTATGTAAACCAAACCCTAGACCTATTGATAATAAAAATCCTTCAGACTAGTTAGTGGCTCAGTCTTCGCTCTGCAAACCTAACAGTAAGAGCTACAGGTTTGTTGGAGTTATCGCTGGTCGTTTTTTTCATTCGATATAAATGGACAATATACAATACTAAATTTTCCCATTATAACTTACACAAATAAGCCAATCCTCCTATTTGTATTTTTAAGGCTTTTGTCTTTCCACACTGCTAGTGATCTAGTAACAAACCACTCAATAATTTCTCAGTCTGATTCCCCGGCCAAGAAGGTTTTGGATAGGACTGAGTTTCATATCGCGCAATCAAGCTTGTGGATGCCTAATTGAATCAGTGGAATTGATCTTAATAATGTTATCAAGAAATCTAAGTCTTCCCGAAAACTGAATCAATATTTCCGACGATTCTTTTAATTCCACCGCACCCAGTTGTTTTCTGGATATGATTCCTATTAAGATATACCCGTTAGTGACTGTCGTTTTTTCAAGGTCGACCGGGCGAAGGCGAAAGCGAAAGCTATTGAACCATTCCGGGGAGACATGGTGACTAATTACTATCGATTAGTTGGCTGTGAAAGAGGGACGACTATCTGAAAATTTACCCTACATATCTGGACTCGGAAAAAGACATGTGAGCAACGCTTCGTGAATGTCACTTTAAAGGGATTATATGAGGGAGTATATTAACCTCTGTAAACGTTTTCTGTTTTATTTCAGGTTTCATCCTTCCTCCTGAATCCACAACTTCCTCAAAGCATCTTGATAGGGTAGATGGTATGATAGTAACAGAGGTAACTCACAGGTCATCATTTCCTGAGAGGCCCATCATGTAGAGTTCTACAATCTTAGGATGTCGATTATTGAAAAATGATTCCTATTCAGACTGAAGTCAATGCGTAACTAACATATTTCGTATTCCTCATTTCTAGGTATGTTTGTGTACTGAAATTCTAGACAATTGGCACACTCCGAATTCCTGCAAAAGCTTGTGCACTGATGGTGCCAGGCTGGACCATCTAATTTACCATCAAGTATATCAATCTCGTCCCACCTAAGTGCCTAGATCAGCTCAAACATTATTCATGTGGTGAATTATGCCAAGTTTGAATGTCTAGAGAGCCCGATCTTTACGCTCAGATTTCCATATTCATATTAGAACTTAGCAATCTCATTCTTAAATTCTCTGCATCCCTAAGCTTTTCAAATTCTCTCTTTCTTACACTACAAGGTTTGCCTGATACAAGAGTTTCGTCATCTCATTCAACGATTTATTTCTTCAATAGAGGTCTCATCTGGTCGCTCAGTCGCCTATCATAGTCTCCTTTTCTTGGCTTTACTCCTTTTTGTGGTCTCATTTATCTTTTCGTTCATTTTTCCATCTCAGAAAAAAAATGTATCACGACCAGTCTTGCATTATTAGTCCCACAAACCAAACCGTGGAGTCTAGATTTGCGAACGAGTACTCGAGACTTAGGCTTTGGTACTCTAGCCTTCTTCGTGTGCTAATGTTTATATGCAGGAAATATTTTACCTTATATTTTAGTGACCATCCGAAAAAGTTCGAGTCGATGGTCTCCTCAGCCCAAGTGTCGATACATTTGAGGCCATTACTTCAAACATGCCTTTATAAACCCCGGCAGATGCGGAGTGGTAAATTTCCTTCAGTATCTTTAATGGTGACCTTGATAGTTTTAATTTTAGATTGCTTCAGCAAATGACGAGATAGTTATGGGGGGGGCTCGTGAGATGGTCTTAACACGGTAAGATTTTCCATGAAAGATCAAGATGATAAAGGTTCTTCTTCGTTGTAGCACGAACATCAGATAGATTTGAGTCGTTCCACTGTTCGTATTAGGGTGTAGGTGACTGATTTCGTTGAGTTGCACAGCCATAGAATATATCGAGGCCTAATATTCGACCAAGAACTTGCCAACATCATTCTTTCCAATTGCCCTCTAGACAAAACATCTCAAATCTAACCTACATCGTGACTAGATCTTGACTTTGAATGAATATTCACTACCAAAATTCGTACTGTATGCTAATGATAAGCGAGTGGTATTCTTAATCCAGGGGATTAGTTTTGGATGATTTTCTGGTAATCTGTTGTTAATTTTTTTTTATGTCTGGTAACATACTTTTGTGTCGAGAGAAATTATAACTGTGAATAGCAGCCATTGATGCAGGATTTTTCTGCACGAGAATCTGCCTCCGTCGGTTGTTACCAGGTTGAAATTTTTTAATTCTACGATGTTCGTGATTTTACATATTAGTTTGTAGCAACATGCGGCTGATGATAATATGGCAGCTTGAATTTAATGTCAGAAGCCCGCAAGGACCATCTTTATTTGGCTTTGATAAGCTTTTCTCTCATATTCTATTAAATTTGGAATACAATGACTGGTGATACGTTTATTATATTAAAAGACAGAGGGAGGAAAATCATGTTGCGGCAAAGAGTAAAACTAAAGTCCCTCCACCTTCAGCAGATAATTGAAGTGTTGAGCTAAAATAGCTAGTATTTGCGTATGCGGAGTTCAAAATTCCTCCCTGGTGAGTGTATTTTGTAAAATAAGTGCGTTTCTTTGGGGTGAGTGAGGTATACAGACATTTTTACGGCAGCTGACGGCGTCCTGCTCAATGCGGCTTCGTAAATAAATATAATATTAAGCTTCTGCTACATGCAACAAGTTGATATATTTTACTTGAATAAATAATGGGCTCAAGTGCGGGTTTTTAATTGCCTCATGTTTGAGTAGCTAACCCCATGGCAGGGTTTGGTGGTGACTGTGAAAGGGTTTACATTGGTGTTGTCTCAAATTGCCCCACCACTAAACTTAGCGCGTCAGGTCTTCGCAAAGTCACAAACCCGGCTACCCCAGCCTCTTTGGGTCAACAGGCTAATAATTCCCTGAAATATGTTGATCAATGTGTCATCTAATCACCAGTTGATTCAAATCACGCACGCCTAAGAACACCAGAAACCATGAATGCTGTGAATTACCAGCTCAACATAGCCTACACCTCTATACCTCTGAGAACTATGTTTAAATAACAGAAAGGAATATCTAGCTAAATATCGACCAACATAGTTTAGCTAGTGAGCAGCCTTGACTCTAGAAGCGGAGGCATCTATTCCTAGACGTACCATGTCGAACTCTGCTCCAAAACCATCACGAGAAAGCCATCATGCACCACTTCCACAAACGAAGGTATCCGATAACAATGGAACTGGTCCTAGTGAAAGCATAGACATGTTCCCCACTTTCGAGATCGAGTCGGCAGCCGTTCCTAATCAGGCAGATTGGTCACCAACACATGTGGCATACACCGAAAATACTCTAGTCAATAGTGGAGCTTTTCTTACTCTGCTTACATCAGAGGCACAACACACTGGTCTTGTAAGTGGGCCTAGCCCATCTGTCGCAAGCACGGTAATAAAATCCAGAAGCTCCATGGAAAGCAATAATTCTTCATCCAAGCCCGTAAATAATTCTCTTTTTCGTTCACCTAGTCTTAACCAAATTCAGGCAGGTAATGCCGACATTATATTGGACAACAATCCAACTCTAAATTCAGTAACCTCATCGCCAATGTTAAGTGCAGTAACAGACGTGACCCCTTTACCATCACCAGTCATAAAGGGAGGCTCTCAAGATCCATGGGGGAGAATCTACAAACAGTCCTTTATTGACGATAGCAAGGCGTCAATTCTAGTTGATACAACCAACATGGAAATAAATTCCGAATCCAGCAGCCCAGATTGTATCAATGAGCCGAGTAGATCTGCACATCAAAATCTCATGTCCAAACCTAAAGATTCAACATTAAGAAATCTGAAAAAAGTCGAAGATGTAACAAGTGATATTAATAAGCGCAACAGATCTCATAGCGAGTACTCACCTAAACCCGTGCATGTACTTCGAAGTAGGAATATAACAGTATTAGGAGCCCATGCACCACTATTGGAATCTACTTCAACCAAATTTACAGAACCGACTGACATGCCAATGCGGCGGGAGCCAAACCTAGCATGCCAGAGAGGGATAGGGCCTATGCCCCACCCACCAACACCCCCTTCGAGTAGAATGGGCTATGAAAGCAGTGATAGTGAATCTCAATCCTCGTCTATGCTTACAACTCGAGGGAAGAAAGCTCGCTATGATTATTTTGAAGCATATAGCAGGACTGATATGAAGTTGAGGAAATGGAAAGCCCTAAAAATTCTAGGACAAGGTACCTTCAGCAAAGTGATCCTTGCAACTAGCCAAATCTCAAATGATGAAACTGTAGGCAGTTCAAGGCTCCCTGAGAACCCGAGAGAGACGGCGTTTTTTACAATTCCTCTCGAGAAACTTGACGCCAAGAAACTTGTCGCCGTCAAGGTATGCGAATACGGGTCAAAAGGTAATTTCTCCGAGGAAAGAGTTGAAATATCTGTCAAAAGAGAACTAGAGTTTATGAAAAGCATAAGCCATCCTTCGATCGTAAATTTAAAAGCTTGGAATATCGAAGAGACTCGCGCAATTTTTGTACTCAGCTACTCTCCTGGTGGCGACTTGTTTGAGGTAGCAAGCGAACATCCAGAGTTACTGGTTCCTGATTTGTTACGAAGGATATTCTCAGAGTTAGTAGCTGCTGTTATTTATCTCCATGATAGACATATTGTACATCGTGATATAAAACTTGAAAGTACGTATACAATGGATGAGATCATTTTATAACGAGAACTAATTGTTCTGAAGACGTCCTGGTTAATGTTCTTTATTATGACCTCCGTTGTCAAAAAAATTGGAGCACGTATCCTTATTCACTTATTACGCTCACTGATCTGGGACTTGCTCGATATGTTTCTGGAGACGAGAAACTGACGACAAGATGTGGGTCTGATGACTATGCAGCACCTGAACTTATAATGGGCCAGCAATATGATGGGCGTGCTACAGATGCTTGGTCACTTGGGGTGCTATTGTACGCCCTAGTCGAGAGCCGTTTACCATTTGACCCTCATCCAAGCGTTCCGGATACACACAAGCAGCGTAGCCGGACTAGTCACCGAATTGCTCGTGTTGAATGGGACTGGGTTAAATATGCATGCCAAGGAGATGATCATGAAGGTGATCCAGATAAATTTCGCAGTCAAGGCATAAACGGTGTCAAAGAGATTACTGAAGGCTTGCTTAGACGTGTTAGAGACCGATGGACGTTGCAAGAAGTTGCAGCTACCGAATGGGTTAGTGGTGGTGTTCAGGTTAAAGGTGGACTACAGTTTCGAGAAGAAAATTTGTTGGATGAATCGGACATTTAGGTGTTTGATTTTCCTTACACTTTTTCTACTCAATGATTTTGAAAATGGGGTTAAAAAGTTTTGTGGAGATCTTGATGAAAGCCTTTGACAGGCAATAATCTGGGCGTTTTCATTTGCCTCTGATTCGACCTGATGAAGGAAATATATAATGTCTTTGACTCCTTATATCACTGGGCGCACAATTTCCGTCCTTTATATGATATTAATACACGGACAAACCAATTCAAAAGAGGGAGGCACTGTCTAAGTCAGTAGGTTTTACTTTCAGGAAGGAATTAGATGAGGTCTAATGCCCCGACATGTGGTTTAAACTTTATATCTCCTTAAGAGACAAAAGAAAATTGTAAAATAAGTTAATCATCAATAACGTTCCTTTCTGGTTATTGAATATATGATAGTGAATTTGACGCGAAACTTCTAATTGAACCTGGCCCATGTCGGTTAATCATGAGATAGCTGTATTTCATATTTACTGGGGAATCATACCCGGCAGTCGATTAATACAAATTGTAATTAGGTATATGATGAAGCACCTAGGGTTAGAGTTGTGATTCAATGGGAGATCTCCCGGGAGCCAAATACCTTTTTGAAAAATGGGAATGAAGATACAATACCTGCAATTGGCGTTCTCTACGAACATAGTCATGGAAATTTTTATCAGTATGAATTCAATCACAATAAAGATTTAGATTTGTTTTACTTGATGAATTGCAAATCTAAAAGATTGTACAGCGTTTTTCGGTCGAAATCCAGCCTACAATGATTTCACTATTGAGCTAAGCCAAAAAGAAAGACTAGAGAGAGAAGGATGATGACCTACCATTTGCGTCCTGTACGAACTTCTGTAGTGAAAATTCACTCAAAGTCATGATCCAGTCACGAGACAGGGTATACTTGAGACGATTTGTCGAGAAGGCAATGGGAAAATATTCGTTGATAACACGGCCTGACTAAATTTTGCAAGTTATAACCGGCGATGCCCGGATAGGGAATTTCTACTAGCATAGCCTCCAGTATTGTATGGTCATGTGCCACTAAGAAGATAAATAAAGTTTACTAGAAGAAACAGACTTTCCTGTCATTCATGAGAAATATTTCATTATGAGGATAATGCACTGTCTAACGATAGGACCATTCGCTATGTCTATGATTGGAACACTACTAATTTCTGTAAGTGTGACTTCATAATTATTAGAGGGGTTTGCAATGTAGCAGCTAGCTCTCGTATCATATATCCACAGATTTGACGTTGAAGCATTTGTATGGTTGGTCATGGCTACAGGCACCAAGTCACTCAAAAGAAGGTAACCATCATTGAAAAATGATCACCTGCTATTAGTCGAGGCAGGGGTTGATTTTGAATATTTGAATGACTTCCAAGATTTGTTGTTTTTATTTTCCATAGGTAGTTTTTCATCCCTATTTCAAAGATGATCAAAGTATTTTTCCCGGGGGCGTTTGTTTTCAAATTTCCACAGGTTTTGCTATCATGAGTTTTAGGCTTACTTTTTGACTTCTTTCCACCCTTAAAATTTGGTTTGGGGTCATCATTTCCACGAGACTGGTGGTACTTTCCCATATGAATATCTACTGGCTTACAGCTCTCATGAGATTTCTTCTTTAGATCACGAATAAATTAAACAATTTAGGATAACTTGATATCATAAATCTTCTTTGGAATCGAAATCGGGTTCCTACAGTTATTACCCTAACAGGATAGTGGTCTTTTACTTATTTAGGGAGAAATCGGGTGGTGTCATGATCCAGCACCATTATCGTGAATTGTGCAAGCGATTCTATGGTCTATCTGTAAGCAAGTATTAAGTCGTCTAATTTAGAGCAGTCAGGAATTTTAACTGACGAGACTTTTACTGTTGCTTGAACATTTTATATAACAACTTTTACCTCATGTGGAGTTTGTAATGTTTTCCACAATGCCTTATCCGTGTCCAGGTTCTTGCCAGGATCGTTGGTCCTGTGTTCCGTGACTTAGGGTCGCGCACAAACTTAGACATAACACCTGCAGCTACAGAGAGGGGATGGATGAGAAAAAATCTAGTCCATTTAAAATTCTTACTTCTAGTAACAATTATAGATGTTGTTATACGACTGACTTGATATTAGATACAAGAATTGATGCCAAATGATTCGCAAGTGCTGTAGATAAACTTTCGGTTATTGTTAATTGCATTTTTGTATCTCTTCTGTACCACTCCTGATATCTCTTGAGGTCATCTGCCATAGGTTTTCAGCCAAAAATATTAAAATTTGCTGGTGGGCTTAGGGTCCTTGGTTTACAGTGTTCTACAAGCTCATTCAAAATTGCTAGGTTAACACTACTTCATTTCCACGGCAAGTAGGTCTCTTCACCTACAAGCTTTTGGTTTGATGCAAGATACAACAAGCCGTTCAGAGGGGATTCCTGTTCTGCATTTACAATGTTACGACCTTGGGGCTATAAAAATTAGGATAATCATGAAATGTCTGTTGATTGAGAGGCATATATATAGCGCCAATTTAATCCAATACGCCTAATAATAATGTTACCATATTCGATCGGTAAAAAAATACCCATCGAGAAATGTGTAGTAAGCCAGCACGAAAGCAATAGGCAATATATAACATTGGGTAAACAGTTATACGTACTTAACTCAATTATCACTTAGCATCATAAGCTTTCAAAGTAGAAGGTAAGAAAGTTAAAAAGTACTAATTCATGTGCATGAACGGTGCTCGTTTAATCTCTCATTATGCTCTAAATATCTGGGATAGCCGGGGAGAATTGCATCCAAATCGAAGTCGAAGGCAATCTCCTTTTTTTGCATCAGATTTTGATAGCGTATCCACCTAGCTGGCGATGAAACAATACCAGAGAAAAATTAGAGATTAGATGAGTAAATTTAAAATTAAAGCAATCATACCTCGGGTTTTATTTGCAAGTACCACTGCGAAGTTATGCCGGCTTTTTCTTCACCCCAAGTTAACCCTCATCCGTGAATACCCACCCAGGGGTGTGTCTCAAAAACCCTGAGTTATCCAGACATACTTCCATCATCTTTTGGCAAGTCTCCGCAAGAAATATGATCTTAGGTGTCTTCTTCCCAAGTGGAGTAGATCCCCAGACTGCTCAAGCTGTTCTGGAGAACACTACCAGGAGCCATCGTTGACTTGTGTTTATAGAATCAGCAGCACTCTCGCAATCAAAGGCTTGGCGTGGACAATACTCTTCAACATTTTAATCTCTTTGCCAAAATTCGAAATTTCACACACATCAAGCTGTATTCATCCTCTGCATCATATTGTAAACATGTCCTAATCTCTCCCAAGCTCATCTCAAAGAACTACATCACAAATTTGTGCGTCACGATCTTTGTCCCCTACGGGTATATGTATCGTTGTGGAGGTATTTTTAGTGGCTAGCTGAGATCAGAGAATAGTCGACGAGGTGCATTCATTGAAATAAGGATGTAATAAGTCGTACTTGTAGACTAAATGAGACTTAGATAGGGGTCGAACTCGTTAAGGGTGAAAAGTTGAAATGGTTGAGTGTTTTGAGTCATTGTCTCGTGGGCCAACTTCTTCGGTATTGCGGATCTCGAATGAACTTTGCCCTGGGTGAACATTTCACTCCCAGGTTTGTAGAGAACACCGCGTACAGGAAATAAGTTTTGCCCTCCGTATGTTTTTCTCCTTTCTCAGTCAAAGGCTAATAAGGACATACAGGTCCTGTAAATGACCCAGCTGAGCTTGGGAATAGCTCTTATCACTTCCTCCAATGTAGGTCGTCAGCTGCTAGATTCTCAACAATCGCACATATTGATCTGGGAGCTGTAATCAGAAATAATGTAGTCTAGAAGCCAGATCCACGATGAAATTGTATAAAGACAGCTTTACCTTCAACCCTGGCGTCAAATCGCAGATTCTGGGTATCGAATCATTCGGCTCTCATTAAGAGGTTATACATCAATGTTCTGAAGCTGGTCCTCAGTTAATTTGTGTTCGCTTATTTTGCAAAATTAGAGACCGAGGTAATAATCAATACAGACCTCAATACCTTGATCGATGGCTTAAAAATTACGGGTAAAAATTATATGCATTATTGTGACAAGTCAACCTAGCTTAGATCCAACACATCTCATGTTCTCACGGCATAGACTTATCATTCTAAACAAAAAGGCTAGAATATTTTGACGTGCAAAATATCTCGATTCTTTAAAAGAGCAGATCATCATCCAGTTCTTCCATCCCATACACGCGTACCATTACATTTATCCCCGTACCCAAACCCGAGAGATCAAGCAGCATCATGGCTGCGTACAACCAGCCGTCGTCCTCGGCGTCAACCGACCCAGGCGACCATTTACACCCGAGCCTTCTTGAGATTGCTGCCACCATGGAGCAATCGGAACGCCAAAGAAAGCAGTCAATGAGTCTAGCTCAGGATTTTCTGCAAACCATCGACGCCTGGGCGAAATCCAAGGCAAGAACCGAAGGCGCGTCCTTAGTTGCGCTTTTCATTGAAAATATTTCACCCATCGTGACAGCGTTCGCGATAGGTAACGCCAATGCCGCGATTCCTCAAGGCAAGAACCCATCCCCAGAGGGTACACAGATAAAAACCACTGTCCCAAGGGCGACTAAACCTCTGCATGAGCTGCCAAGAAAGCCCAAGGAGACTGCTTCTTCGTGGGCCACAGTAGCCCAGAAAGCAGCAAAGCTCCCAGACCCGCCAGCCAATCTGAAAAACATGAGTTACTCGACGACCCCACGTCCGTAACGACGTTTGGATGCTAGGCTAGGCTCCTTCACGACAGTCACTCTCGACCAAGATTTTTCTGACATCTTTTCACGACCTTCAGTTTGTCCTGCGGCATGAATCAGGGAGGAGTAAGGAGGAGGCTAGGAAGGTTGAGAGACGCTCTTAGGTATACACAGGTCTGCTGCGCCCGGCTGGCCGGCCTCTTCGTCATAGGAGAGCCTCGCACACAGTGGTTTTTGAGACTTTTCCCTGCGGCTACACACCCACGAATGACCATCTTTTCGTTGGCTGGAGAGAGGAGATAATGACGGAATAACGATTCCTCTTAGTGTGTACTCGAATAAAGAGCTATGGGGGTATTACTGCTGGAAAGAAGTTGTGAAGGAGGCATAGGAGGGAGAACACTACCCGAGGCATAGGTACTTTTGGCCTGTAGACAGAAAGGACCTACATGCTCTTATATAGTCATAGACTTTATAGGACAATGAACACACATATATATCATCCTGTACTTACCACAACATACGATATATTTTATATATGTCGTACTTTACCCTCCGTATTTTATGGCTCTCGCGACTCTACTTCCTCAATATCCTTACACATATACACAACTTAGTCAGCCACCACTTCTGCAGCAGCAAGCCCATTCTCATTGCCTGTGATATCACAGAGATTAACCCTATCATACCAAGATCGGTAATACCGACTGATGACCCTATGGTGATTGATAGCTGACAAAGGCTAGCTCAGTTTACAGTTTACCATTTTATGCGCGAGTTTTGGAAGTGACGAAAATATTAGGGCGTTAACGTATCAAAACGCCAGAATACCTCCCACTTATGATCCCATTTCAGATTGCCGAATAACCGTCATCGTTTCTCTTTTTGACCGCGACAGAACTCCCAACAAGCTGCATTTCAACATCTTCTCACTGTCGTTCGATTTTTCCCTACACGTGTAAGGACGGGGTGGTCAACTAAAATAAAATGAAATTTCTCAATTATCCTGATTTGGTGGCCTGAGGGCCCTTGCAGATGTGTTCGGAAGAAATATATTTTACCAATGACTCATTTTGACGTTTGGAATACTCACTCAGGTTTTCTTCTCGGATGCCAGTAGATGTTAGCCCTTACGCAATATAACCTCTTGCACGGACAGTCGCCACAGGAAAAAGCTTGAACCCCCCCGTGATTATCCGAGCGAGCTCCTGTCTTCCTTAAAGCACGATTTCGCCGCGAGAGGATGTAGGTGCTATGGTTCGGCCGTGGTTAAGCTTAGGTGGAGACTGAAGCGGAGTTTGGGGGCGCAGTAGGGAGAGTGTTCCATACTATCTTGTATCAAGCGATCAAGTTTCACTTCGCCACATTGTGTAGGGGCTCGGAAGGGATGTGAGACGGCGAAGTAGGATAACGACGGGAATTGGCGAAGCGATATGTCATGCTTACCAACGTAGCACGTACTGGATGAGCTGGATGGATGTATAAGTAGCCATTATCCGTAATTGAGTTACTTTTCTGTCGATATAGTTTAATCTCTTAACATACACTACAATTAGCTTGGTTTCGTCACAGTGGGTCCTGCTGGATTCGAACTAGCTTTCTACTGTCCCACATTGGATGTGTCTTCAAGGTACCCAAAATCAACTTGTGAGAGCTGCCCGGATGATATAACCCGACACCATAAATTATTCTCAAGACTGAACCACGCATATCCTGTTTTCTCGTAACCTTTATTATCAGGCTTTGATTTGATTTCATTTGGTCCGTTCAGGTAACCTATGGGCCCACGAAGGTATATCTAGCTATAATATTTACATAGGAGGAAACCAAATTCGATAAAAACCTCCAAAAACTGACTGTCTCGTGTCTATTGGATTTCTGAGGTTTCCTACAGGACGTGCGTTAACACTGTTCATACAGTGTGAACTCCGTCCTATCTTTATTCATATCGTCTTATATTTTCGTCCAATGCAACCTCTACTTCTGCGAGCTGGAACTGTTCAAACCAGCCTTTTGCTAGGATTCATTTTGTGATTCTCTCCTTATCATCTGGGCTATTCATCATTGCCGCAAAGGACCTATCTTTTGCCTTTCGAAGCACCTCTCCTCTTCCCATCGCCCACTGAGGACACGCCAAGACCATATGTTTGACATTTTGAGACGGATATCCACACTGGCATTTTGTATTAATCACTCCGGGGACTTTCCTTCGATACAGATAAGAGTCGAGACCAAAATACTCACTTCTTATCTGAACTGCAATACTGCTTCGGGCCTTGCTAAGGTTCCGGTGGATATTTGAGAGTGTGTTTCTATAGGTAATCTTTTTTCTGCCTGTTATCTCATCTGTGACGATATTTGGGGCTTTCCAATGTTTAGGGTCTACCGAAGCTCGATGACTAGATAGTTTATCGTTCCCTTGCCTTGTTTATGAGTTTTTCCACTCCTGGAACATGACCGCCTTACCAGCATCTTTTTGACTACATTTTGCACTCTCAATTCTTCTACCCACAAATTCTGTTTCATTCTTCAATGTCTAGCTTTCGATTCTTGGCGAGCCTATTCTCGGTTCCTCTCGTACTTTGCTTTACTATACCGCACACAGATATCATTATGCTTTATGATATTGTGTAATTATTTTGTTTCCAAGTGAAATTAGATATTGAAATGCAAAGTGTATAATTTTTGTAAAAAAGCTAGCTCAATAGTGTGACAGGTCTTGAGATCAGAAACTTTTTTGTCATTAGTTGGAAGAGCTTCAAAGGGCCTTAATTTTGAAAACGGGAGATTTTGGGCTTGTTTAAATCTAGCCACTTCAGTATGTTTAAAAATAAAATACAAGCCTTTGAATTGCTAGATTAGATATTGAACTATGGAGCCGTTTCTATTTTGACGCGTGTATATTATCTACTTAATTGTAAGACATATAAGATTATAAGGTTCTAAGCTACAGGAAAATTTTTGATACACTGTGCTTCGCCAGATTGTTGACTTCAAACTATGGATCGGAGAATATGGTTTACTGTAATGTTTCTGTATTTGTTTCGCATCTCCCAAGTACTCGTGATCGAAAATCTGTATTTGTGTGTGAAGCGCAGGTTTCGGTTGTCGTCCTACTGGCTGCCTTCCATAGATCAAGGGCACTCATTCATACGGTCGCTGGTAACGCTTATTTGCAAGACTTGCTTGTTATTCTTTTAGCCGTAATTATTGAAGCAAGTACGATTTCTACTTCACAGCTTAGACTTAAACTCCGAATTTTTCCGGAGTAAGGAATCCGCCTCGCCATCAGCTACCTTTTCAAGGCTACCTGGGTGATCAGATTTCTTAGGAGCGCTATGATAGCCTCCCTTCTCGTTATCTGTATTTGTGATGACGCCATTATGGTCCCGCCTAATTCCGAGCTCTAAAAGTTTCGCAAAAACCTTGGAGAAATCAGTGAAGAATTTATCCTTATCCCGCGCATAAATCTCAACCCATTTTCGGAAAGATTTGTCCTGTGTGAGTGCAATATCTGTCGGCAGCATCATGAGTTCAGTGCCAGTGTCTTCATCATAGTTGACATATTGCACTACGCCATTCGCCAATGTCTTTTCTCTCCATTGTAAAGACAGTAATAGACGGAAGTACTGGTTGGAAAATCTTGTAGGATTGTTAACCCAGGCACCTTCGTATCCACTCCGATCACCATGGCATCGTCCCAAATTATGTGCCCCCGAAAGTGCCACGATCTCTTGGTCATTAAAACCCATTCGATAGAAAATAAATCTCAAATGATCAGCATCTTTAGACGCGTCTGGCAGTCGACCCCTTGGAGGTAGCTTGCTGTCGTCTACAAAATCGGTCCGTCCTCCACTCCACGGAATCACTGGACCGCCCATCTCTCTTATAGCAACAGTGCCCGCCAATGTCCATAAGTCGGCGTACGTTATCCATGGGTGAGCCTCTTTGACGGTTTCGAGGAAAATGCGAGCGTGTTGAAGTCCAGCATTGGCTGGATCACCACCCTCACTTTCATAACGCATGCCAGCACCATTAGAGCCACCCGTATCAGTTTCGGCATCGTATGTTCCTGCCGAATGCCTTCAAATATAAGTATGGATTGCTATATTATATTGGACTGGTGTGGTTGCGTAGCCAAAGATTCACACTCTGGTAGGGTAAGGATATGGTAAGGCACATACCAGGCAAGACGTACTAAAACCGGTCCAGCGCTTCCGTCATCATATTCGGGCTGTTGCAGCAATTTGATTATATCATTTTCGACAGCCTTGAAACCCTTCTGACTGTAATCCATCCTTTCTATTTAAAATTCCGAAAAGGCTGCAGTTTTAATTTCTTCGTATGGTTGTTATTCCCTAGATTCGGGTGGTCAGAAACATGTAGTAGCTCGCTCTTAATAGTGAACCAGTTAAGCTGAGGTTTAGTATTACTGCAATGTTCTACAGGAAATCTTCATGTGAGAGACGCGATAAAGAGGATCGTTGTTGATCCCTGAGGGTTAGCAAGGATATATGCTGGTCCTTTCGAGGGGAATCAGCAGCGTAATCTACGTGTCCCCCCTTCTAATCAATTCTACAAATCGGCATTATGAAGAACTAAGCCTGGTATCTAATTGCCGCATCTTTTACAAACACGAGTTGGAATATTTTCTCAGAGCTATGGCAAGCCAGATCTAGCAATACCGAAGAAGCTTGTCAACGAGGCATTAGTTCAAGACTCCCTGCTACAATATTCATTCACTACCACCAATATCGACTCCCACTTAGGCCTATTTCAATCTACATATACGACCTAGTCTGTCATAAACTCTAAAACTACTCCAATCGCCGTATCAGCTCCTTGTCTCAAACGGCCTCCAATAAAACCCACAAGTGAATTTGCACAGGAACACATCATGGCGCACATATCTGGGAGCTAGATCTTCAGGCTAGATGAAGATAGATAGGCAAGATGATGCTGAGTATGGGTACACTTTTGAAGGGTAGAAAATTTTGACACTTGGGATGGAGTTCATTTGGCATTGAAAAGCATTGTGAGCTTCAAAACTTGATCCAGGAAAGTTTTAACCACTACAAAAAGGTAGTCAAGATTAAATTGTTCAATGTTACATCTTCCAGGCTAGTCTGCAAAGTGAAATTTAGATAACTTGAAATATGAGATTACTGGTTCGAATCACACAAGACTTATTTAAATTTCTCGCGTTGCTCGTGTGAATGGATGAGGATGGCGTGCTAGGAAAGCCATTAGTATTTGATATTTTCATCAGCGGAGGCTTTTGGAGGATTTCTGAAGGCTAAGAACAGCCATCGATGAGGTTTGACGTGCAAATAATTATGGCTAAAAATAGTGAAATATCCGAACGTACATGGATTATTTGTTCCAGAGGGTGCCAATATTTTTAGCAAGAACCGCAAGATGTCTATCCCTAGTGTAGGGAGACTATTCACAACACCTGTCAGCGGTGTCCCCTACGAACCTCCAGCTCTCACTGTAGAGTCTGCAGAGCCGAGATTGAGTAACAAATTCCTTACTTCGATGAGGATTCCCAATCGCTTTCGCCGTCTGTATCGTCTTCATGTCTCAACACATTCCCCTATCACCATTATCATGAAGCTAACCACAATCAGATCAGATGGTAGGGTCGGAGCTCTACTCATCACCAAACCTTGATCACGGAGGAAAAGCCATCCGATGAGTTTCCGGAGCGTACCCAGCACCCGATACGGAGATGGCGGATTGGATCAAGTCGGTCTCTAGTGTTATAAAGAAGTGGGATGTAGATTAATTTGCGCACCTCATGTAGTCCCGGTGTCTAGGCCTCGCCTGGCTGGGGCTGCAGGTTTTTTGGGACTTTTTCCCGTGCACGCAGTTTCCATTAACACCATTTTATTTTTTGTGTAGAAGGTTCCGTGGAAAAGGTGGCTAATTTCCACAGGTAAACACTGAGCTAAATGACTATTCATCACGGGCAATATATCTATGATCTTTCAAGAAACATGTGAGGCAAGGAGCACTGTACAAGGTATGGCCTAGGTCAGAAAGAAGCCCAATGTGCTAGATAGTCTAAGACTCAAGAAGTACGTTAAAAATACATCTCTGGACCTGTGGTGTTCTTGTACAAAGACGATGAATATAAATTTCAATGATAACATGATCCAAAATTTCACAGGTATGAATATTCATGGAAGAGTGATGACTTTACGGTTAAAGGATCCATATACTATAGTGGCCACTCCAATTAGCTCGAGAATATTTGTAACAAAGGTTAAAAGAGTAACTAAATATGTACATAGCTACCGATATGTGACGAAACCAAGCTGGTTGTAGTGTACTTTTAGAAAGATTAAACTATATGAAGAGAGAAGTATCACAACTACGGGCAATGACTATTTGTACATCCTTCTAGCTCATCCAATACGTACTCTGTTGGTGAGAATGACATATTGCTTCGCCACTGCCCGTCGTCATCTTTGCCATCTAGCTGACCCTCTCACTTGGCAATTCTACTTCGCCGTCTCACATTCCTTCCTAGCTTTAATGTAATGTGGCCAAGTGAAACTAAGTCGCTTGATACAAGATAATGTGTAACACTCTCCCGAATACGCCCCCAAACTCCGCTTAGGTCTCCGCCTAAGCTAAACCGCGGTCAAACCGTAACAGATAAGATTTGCTAGCCAGGAAACTCAAAATATTGGCAATGGCCTATTTGATTTCATTTGTCCCGATTTTATGCGTCATCAACCCATAAGGGGGAGTATACTTGCTTAATATACATAGAAATACTTCTAATTAATTAGAGAATCCTTAGGACTATGTTGTGATTTAGTACGACGCTAAATAAAAATGAAAGAAAAAATTGAGGTATAAAAAATTAAAAAAGTAAAATCCCTATACTGACCTCTCATACACGCCTCAATTTGATGCTGAAGGAACCCACTATCTTCTAAGTAAAATGTCTGCCACTAATTAGGTTACCTACTCGCTGTAGAGGAAGACTGTCGTTTCCGATTAAATGAAAGAGTTTCAAACGTGACTCTTTTTCATCCATCAGTATCCAAGACTAAACTATATCTTCGCACTCATCAACAGTAGAGGTGTTGGATCTGTCACTACAGACGATTCGCTGAGCCATCTTGATCCACTCAGCAATTTTGTGGGCCGGATTATTTTTCGCCATTTATTCGTAACTGAGTTTATTCCTTGATCGAACACATCAGATAGTAATGATGGCACTGTTGTTATTGGTTGCCGAAATATATGAACTGTCCGTTCGAGGAATCTCAAATGAAATTAATTTAGTCTTCTTTTACAACCCTCGAAGGATTTGGGTTCCACCATCTACCACAATCGATGAGTCTTGCCATAATTGCAATAGGATTACTTCTGATTCGGGCAATTCGGAGTGTAGTAAGCCCTCGCATACTTACCACATCTCGCCGCCCATCCACATACAGCATAAATGCCCCCGCTGACAGAGATTGAAACACCAGTTGGATTGGGCTCTAAATAACCATAGTTATGCCGCATAGAAATAGAATATATAACGGATCAATTCCGAGTTCTTTCCCTTTGTAGAACTTCTGTCAGGAGGCTCACCACTATTTGTCCTCTTCTATGACTATATTTCTTTTCCTATGCATGCTAACTGTCGTCGTGAAGCCAGTGAACACTGTTGTTTAGGAGGCCGTAGATTCTGACCATGGTGGCCTTCATGTTTTAATTTATAAAAGTGTTAAAACCTTAGTCCTTATATTGTGTAATGATCACTTTAAGGAGTTCTAATATAAAACATGGGAGGTAGACTCGTCTATGAAATCAACTCTTTGGAGGTCTGTGATGTATATATCCATGAAAACGGATCCAACACTCGAGATTTACATCTTGAGTACGGGTCCGTGCACGCTAACAAAACAACCCAATAACCACGTGATAAACAAGCTACTTGTACAGGGTATCTTGCTCTCGGGTTCTCCTAACTCCTGGCTAATGATGACAACTCAGACCCATAATAAGGGTCCTGGAATTGCAATGCATTAGACTTATTTCTCAACAAAAAGATTCATTACTCGCGGTACGACTGTTTTCGATATTTTTTGAGGACTTCAAACAATTACACAGAATGGTACTGCCGCGAAGCCTTGAGAAACTCGTGCCGAGGCATGCTGAGGGCTACGTCGCGCTTAGACGCCAAAATCACAAGTACTGGAGTTCCTTGACCTCGTATCTGTAGGACTGCGTAGATTTGAGGTGGAAATGCTTTTTGTCACGAAATAAGATCGTGATATAAACGATCGAATATATTAAACGAAGATTAATCTGATTTTCTAAAATAATGATAGTGTCAGATTAACTCTGTAGTGCGGTTTGGGAGAAGTGTGTCATGTGATGTGATGTTTATTGTACTTCTTGAGTCTTAGACTATCTAGCACATTGGGCTTTTTTCTGACCCAGGCCATACCTTGTACAGTGCTCCTTGCCTCACATGTTTCTTGAAAGATCATAGATATATTGCCCGTGATGAATAGTCATTTAGCTCAGTGTTTACCTGTGGAAATTAGCCACCTTTTCCACGGAACCTTCTACACAAAAAATAAAATGGTGTTAATGGAAACTACGTGCACGGGAAAAAGTCCCAAAAAACCTGCAGCCCCAGCCAGGCGAGGCCTAGACACCGGGACTACATGAGGTGCGCATATTCATCTACATCCCACTTCCTTATAACACTAGAGACCGACTTGATCCAATCCGCCATCTCCGTATCGGGTGCTGGGTACGCTCCGGAAACTCATCGGATGGCTTTTCCTCCATGATCAAGGGTTAGTGACGAGTAGGGCTCCGACCCTACCATCTGATCTGATTGTGGTTAGCTTCATGATAATGGTGATAGGGGAATGTGTTGAGACATGAAGACGATACAGACGGCGAAAGCGATTGGGAATCCTCATCGAAGTAAGGAATTTGTTACTCAATCTCGGCTCTGCAGACTCTACAGTGAGAGCTGGAGGTTCGTAGGGGACACCACTGACAGGTGTTGTGAATAGTCCCCCCGGTTTGGGAGAATTCCCAATGGAAATATATTTTACATGAGTGATAACGTAGTGAGGCCTGAGACTGATATTACACTAGGGTTTCCTACGGTGTATGAATGTACCTTGTGCACCTGAAAACGTAACACTCTGGACTTTTGTTGTAGCCAAATTGGCTGCATTTCTCTACATCGGGGATCCGTATCATCAATGCCGGAGCGGAGACCGTTGAAGCTTGTTCTTTCCGGCGCTCATTTTCGTCAATTTTGGTGGCCGTGATGGCTGAGGACCATTTTTCGACTATTTTTTTCCAGTATCTGCTATACTTTGAAATGAATTGTAAATTTAGTAGGAGTTACTAAAAGATACTGCGAACATTGACTTCAATGAAATAAATATATCATCACAGCCATGGAACGTGTTGCATAGATTGCAGCCTTTGAGTGATTGATAAAACTTTTTAATGGTTTTCTTTCGGGACAAATATGGCAGGTAGGCTCCGACTCATGAAGAGGTTTCTAACTCATAGCTCTATTCAAATCGATACTAAATCAGTCTTCCCTACTTCGAATTAAAGACGAGGCGTCACTACCCGATGGACAGAGCAATTTTTTCATGTAGCGACATTGAGAAGCCAAACCCTTCAGGCAGTACAGTACCATACCTTAATTTTCTTGATAATTTCTGCTGTAACCCATGAAGCATCCGAGGACTAGCTCCTCGTGAATGGAGCTCCACCTTTAAACACTATTATTGAAATAGGATCTCTGTAAGGTTAAATTATTATCACTAGCTCATCTTTTAGCGTGTGGAATTTAAATTTCGTAGCAGTAAAATTTTTACTCATGCCTCTAATCAGCTTTTCTTCTTCTCTCAGCTGTTGAGATATGAATATTTCCAAATCCTAGACGTCAAGGCAATTCAATCTGTGATTAAGACAGCACATTCATCTGGGTTTAAAGGTCATTAACGATGCTAGAATTTATCCCTTATTGTTGATCAGTACAAACAAACTGTATGATAGTAACTCATGTTGATACTCATGAATGAGATGGGTAATAAAGATGGATGATGTTAAAGTCAGTGTGGGTATTGGTTATTATGGACAGGAATAAGGCACGTGTTTACATTAAGCACTTGACTCCTTTTTCATATTTTGATGCTTCCGACCACATTCACAACGCCCTATCCTACTATTGGTTGGCAACTCCTAATCAATGCATTCTATACCTTTTATCTTTAAATGATAAGCCATGTAATTCTTTGTCCCGTTGGCCATTAGTTGCTCAGAATTTAGGACAGAATGACCTTTAGCAAATAATAATAAAATTGACGGAAAGCGAGGCAAATAACTGTATTTAAGAATTTGTTGTCGCTTCTGTAGTTTAGAGTACAAAACTCCATAATACAATTGGTATCTTTCGTCCAACGCCAATCCAAAGTTACCTTTCCTGCCCATGAAATACTCGAAAAAATTATTGCTTTTTTTCATCTCGCGTCTAGCGGAGATGAACTATGACCACTACAATCTTCAAATTCTAGGTCCCACTGATCCACTTCCAAAAATTTCCGAGCAGCCTTCTTCAATTCTACCCCAAGTTTCTTCTGTATTCCCAGGTCATCCCCACCTATATTGTTAGAATCTGAAAGCGTTATTGCAAGGTGATAGAGTGACTTACTTTTTTCGGGATTAGATATTTTTCGCTTTGTCTCACCATAAGTTCGGAGAGGGCGACCCTTTTTGATGGATGTGTTCGCATGTTTTCTACCCGGAGCCCGTAGAATTTCGGCGCTATGTGCCAACTCATCATCGTCTGATTCAGGCCTAGCTATGTCAGCTTCAGTGGCGAAATATGCATTATTAGGTGGTTCGCGAGGTTTGCGCAATCTTCTACGAGGTAGCAGTGACTGAAGCTGGGCCGTTGAAAAGTTACTTGCGACTGGGATGGGGTTTACTTTATTCTCTCTGGTAGTATCTGAAATCTGTTGATCCGGTGAGTATGTTAAAGACGGAGGTGAGGACAAGTTCGAGATATTTTCAGTGCTAGTATGTGGGGTTTTAGCTCTAGATGATCGGAGATTTTTTACATGTATTTTCTTTGACCTAGAATGAATTTGCGGATTGGACTGAGCTAGTGGACTTGATGGGATAGAGCTACTACTGCGTGGAGGAGCCATTATCTCATCCCAAGAATCTAATTTCTCATCAGAAATTATATTAACTGAATGTTTGGCTGAAACATTGGAGCTTTGGTTATCATCTTGGGTAAATTTGAGTGGGTTGGTAGCAGGAATCATTTCATCTAATATAGGGGAGGCTGATAGTGATACAACTGGGCTGGAACAAGGAATTTGTAGTTCTGAGACCTTTCTTTTCCTAGATTTTGACGCAGGTGTGGTTATTTTTCTTGCCATTTTACCCATCTCATCGATATTCATGGGCGTCGAGACATCTTCGATGCTAAAATCATTCTCGTTGTCATCACTGCAGTAAAATATCGCGGGCTGAGATTGTTGGAAGCCTGACGAGAATGTCGGTTTTCCCGGTGTCTTTCCATAATTCAAGTTCGTCGTATTGAGACTAGTATCTGGAGATCTACTTTTAATTGTGTTATTTTTTGGAACTTCACAATTATTTCTTTTTGCGTCCAGTTTACTGGAATTAGACCGCAAGAGGACTATATCCTTATTGTATGTAAGATTACTCCCAATGTGATTCGCTAGCTCTTTTCTCCCGAGTTCGATAATAGGGCTGCTCAGCAATACATCAGATATAGTTTGAACATTGTTTTTGTGCACAAATGGATGCTCCGCTCCATTTACCAAACATCCATCAAGCTCAGGTGTTCGTTGCAGTGAAGTTGTATGTTTTATCTTTTCTTTGCCCTTGTTCCGTCTAGTTTTTGGCGCACGAGAAAGCTTGATTTTCTCATCGTCACTCACATCATATAGCTCATTGAACGAAGTGTCGGAGGCCCCAGAAGGTGGATTTGCTAGTTTTTTAGTGGCTGATTTTCTTGCAAGCGGGGCTGTCAACACAGGCTTTACTATCGTACGCTTTGGACGAGGCATCTTATTTAGGTGCAGGTTATGTTGCCGGCGTTGAGTACTCTAGTCTATGGTAGGATCGGAGTCTACTTGAACTTAGACATTTGGAATTTGCGGTATGAAATGATAATTTGACAAGGCTATGAGACATTCGCGCTTTCACGCCACAATAAGCTGGTTCGTAGTTTAACCGAGAGTCCCAGCCCCCTCGATTTAGCTGCATCATGTGCGCATTCGGCACCGACCTCAGCATCGCTATCCGAACTCGACAGGATTTAGGCAAGAATGAGGCATAATGGCGTAGCAATGGCTACACATTCCCGAGAAATCATTAGGGTGTCGCATTCTCTGTTCCATAGGATCCAAAGACGAGTTTTAATTCAACAGCCGGCCTTCCAAGCATCTTTCCTAGACGTAAAGAACTGTTTAACTCTGATTGAACGTTCTGAAGGCCAGGAAATTTCCAGATAGTTTCAATAAATGCTTTAGGTAAGTGAATCTGACGCTTCAGATCATTAATACTTCACAAAGGATTTGATCAGATCGTTGAGAACTCCTAGAAGCTATATGTAGTCCAGCATTTCGTTGAAGTTAAATGAAGACAACACGCTGCCTTTTAAAAATGGGAAAACCCAGTTTATCTCATGCAGCCACATTTACCAGGATTGATCAAGCAACAAGGAAATCATTACAAGTTGGCAATTTGGTACCAATTTTTGTTGTTGTATAAAATTTCTTTGCAGGATTCAAGCTTCCGATGTGTGCGACTGCTAGATTGATATAGATATATTGTAAGAGGTGTGGAAACTTTTTTGCGAATTTCAGGGGTTGAAGAAAATATTGCTGAATTGCACCCTGTAGAAACACGATCGAGCGAGCAGTAGGAGATGTCCATCTAATCAATCACGGCTTTACGTCGTAGTTGAAAGCCAAGGAATTACACATCAAGCCAAGTGCATCCTGAATAGAGAAAAAAATGGGATCGACTCTAATCAGCCGATAAGGAATGTATATCTACCACCCATACATTCCCAATCCTAAAACTGGGCACGTATAGTTATTCTTGGCAAGGGCGACCCGCTGTGGTTAGATTCATACCATATCGGCATCTAACATGCGAACATTAAAAGATTACGTTGGGTAGTATTTGATACCCAGGCCAACTTACATCCTGTTTAAGGAGGACTAAGCTCCGTACCTGTCCGTGGTGTCCCCTACGAACCTCCAACTCTCACTATAGAGTCAGCAAATCCGAGATTGAGTGGCACCTTTTTAGCTTTGAGCTAAATAATATCACCATCCCCAAAAGACACACTTCCGATAGCACATAATACGATCAAGACGACGAGGATGATGCCGGGAAAGAACAAAGATACTGTCGTACCGAACGCTACAACAGTAGTCAGAGAAGCCCTCCTTATATCACGACATTTGCTATGCACCGGCTGGCGAATAAAAAATACACGGAAGCAAAGAAAAAGACCCCTCAACCCTCGAGAAAGCAGATTTTGACTTTTCGACAATATCGTATCTTATAACCATCAATCCCGAATCTACTAGTCCTTCATAGTCATAGAATTAATAAATAAATAGATGGAAATTTATTCGTGGCGGACACAAGCCTAGTTCTAATAGGGAATGACAGTGAGATGGCTAGTCCTTCACCGACAACTATTTACAAAGATAACTCAATTTAACTTTTGGACCACAATTGTAGTGGGTACATTCACTGATACCACTCGAGATCTTTATGCTAGAGACCATCACCTTCACTCAACCATGAATATCCACCAAAGGGGAAACAGGCAAAACCTTTGGCTACCCTAACATATCTTTTCCATCTTGTATATAGCTACCACGCGAGACATGACCTCACAGTCCTCCCTTTCTCAGGTGAGTTAGGTGCCCAGCCTGCCTAGACTTTAATTCGGAGAGATGGCTACCAGGAGGCGGACCAAAACATCTTCCATCGTTGCCTGTATTTAAAGTGTCGGTGGCACTATCCGAAACCTTAGCCTCGGCGCCCACAAATATCCGAAAATCGAAAATACCCGAAAAACAAGAGTCCCAGCATACCAATTTTTGACCTATTCACTCGCTCGTCCCGGCCGCTTTTTCTCACTCAAGACCTGAATCTCCGTTAGAGCAACGGCCCCCCATGTACGAAGACCCTAGCTTTGTATATCATGACTTGGTTACCTCTCCGCGGATATACATAGCATCGTAACTTTGTAGTGGGAGATGCCCGATTTTTGATAAGTCAAGTTCCCGATTACAATTGAAGTAATCCCGAAGTGGTGTTTGAGGCGAGGCAGTATAGCAAGATTGAGGTAGAGGACTCGGAAGAGAATGATAGGGACGACATTGAAGAGAAGTCAAAAATTTTAGATATGCTTGAGGTTGCTTTCGACCTCGATTCGGATGCAATTCTTCATGGGTACCCCAGATATGCAGAGCATACTGAGCGATTACACCGGCACCACTGGAAGGTGAAGAATACGTCTTTGCCGGCTGTGAGCCCTTAAATAGGAGGACAAAGGCGGAATATTCATATCCGATGTCATCCACGAACCTAAGGGTGAAATATTCTCCCAGTGCCAAGTTCAGTCCAATTTCAAAATGCCGAAAAAGTTGGCCCACGAGAAAATGCTTCAATACTCTCCAGTAAATCGATTCCCACTAGATATTCATAAAATCTACAAGAACAACTTAGTACATTCTTACTTAAGTGACCATATCTCCTGTCTAATCGGTTTCTGGCCTAAAGTGGCCTCTGTTGGTCTTATAGGACTACTCGAGTAGGATTTGATGTTACAGGCTACTCCTATCTCCTAGTGACTGTCGTACGGGGACTATTCATTATTACGTCATAAGCCTTGCTGCCTGGAGAGATGTCTAACTTAGCCATACAAATACAGGGTTGCAACAAATATGGAAACAGGATGTTGTTGCAGCATGTCTCATGTGGAATCATCGATGAAAACGACCCGGATTGCTATAATGAACCTACTCATAATATCAAGGATATTGTTGAAATTATGGAGTTCAGAGATGAGTCAGGTGATGCTTAATGGAAGTAATTGATGAAGGGTTTGGTTGAGTTTTCTATGATTTCTGTGTTGGGATACACTATGTCGATCCTACTAGGCTCGATAATTAGTAGTCCCGACTGACTAGTGTTTGGCGAACGGAGATTGCGTATACCCTGTGCTAGCGTTGTTTACTGCTGTAATAGGAGATCCCGCACGGGCTGTCTTTTTTTTTTTTTGCATCAGATTTTAATTGCGTATGCAGCTATCTAGCTATGACACAATATCAAAGAAAATTACAGAATAGATGATTCAACGTAAAGGAAGAGCACTCATGCCTCTAAAAGGAGTCTGGTACCTGTGTTTAATAGAGTAGTCGAATTGACATCCTTTTATACTTCATTTTTGCATAAGCTTCTCTTTACCAATAAAGTCCACGAACTAAGTAGTGGGTTATACATTACAATAGATATGGTGTAGTGGAGCCTATAGTATGGTTAGCGCATTAGGAATTGGGACACTTTAAGTAGCCTTCCCTCGGTAGACAGTTCCAAGATATATGTTTAACATAGATATTAATCGGTCACCATTCCTTTCCTAAATTGTTTTGTTGATTGCCCAACACATTGGGTTTGTCTATGGAGATGGGAATTATTCTTGATTTGCTCAACTCTACTAGAAAAGAAATAAATCTAAAGTTGCCGCTCGGGCTCATGCTATCCCAATTGAGCTTAGTTTATTACATAACTGAAGGAACACTTCTAGGTGTTAATTCAATCGGAAACTCGAAGGACGAAGGCTGAACAACTGTCAGTGGTGTCCTCTACGAACCTGGGCGTGAAATATTGTCCCAGAGCCGAGATTCAGCCACGAAAAAGGGTAGGATTAATTTTTTTTGATGGATTTTCGACTTGAAGGAGTTGCACTCGATATTTTGGTCGATAAATCAGTCGACAGAGATTTCTCAGCCGTAACAAAGTTGAACAAAAACTCATCACCAGTAACATACGATTCACGAATGGATTTAGGTCTGTCTGGGGGTCGTATTCAAACATCCGATATCTCTTAAACTCCTTTTATACTTGCGACGAAGCATTTCTCAATCGATCCTACACCTGCGACCTACCTCCATACCCGTCTAATCACCTACCTACACACGCCCTAATGAGGAGAGTCATGATGGAAACGGGACGTGTAAAAAGGAGGAAGAAGAGGGAAGATACACCGAGGGGATTACACAAATCCCCACTGACGAAAACAACCCAACGGTACAATATGAAGGTGCAAGGCTATAGCAACGATGAGATCTTGGACGGCATTTATATTTCGGAGTCAATGAGGATGTCAAGGGCTTGGGCGCGTGGTGGCCGAGCCTGAGGAGGAAATTGCGCTACGGCGTGTATACAGCGGGTTTCTGGACCTTTTATTTATTTATTTATTTATCTTTATTTAACGTCTAGCGGATCACGCGTCAAGCGAGTAACCCTATTAAGTCCCTACTGAGACAAAAGACGCCAGGATTTAATCTCTGGGCTTCTACATGTTTTAAAGGAAAGCAAAAAAACAAAATTAAACTATTTAACATATAAAGGAGGTGCATTCACATAGCTACTTCCCGCAGTTTGTTAGGCTCTTATTTGTGGTGGTAAGATACTTTCTCGGCGCCATTCTCTGCGCAGGTCAACCCACACTCCCTGTTGACCTCCACTACCGGAAAAATAAATTAGAAAAAAAAGGAGTCTAAATTGCTTATCTTCCTTCCTTCGTTTGCTGGTTTTTCGCGGATCTCCAGCATCAGTAAGCTTTTATGCTGATGGAGTAGAGACGAGACCTAACGCTCGCACGTGCCAGCCAAGGGGCTTCTTTAACCGAGTACTTCGGTCCAGAAGAGACATCAGAGATGCCTACGAAATTCTCTTTTCGTCAGATCTTGATTGTGAATGCAGCTAGGTAGCTATTACATAATATCAGAGAAGTGTATAATAGACGACTTAA